TTGTAGGGTTTAGGGTTTAGGACGCCTTTACTAAACCCAAGCTGCTTGTAGCTGTACTCATAACTTGCTTATCAGCCCCAAGTCCCGTAAATCCCCAAATGCGGTTTTCATTGGGTCCTTGGAAAATCCTATCTGTTGCACCTATGGCGCCTTCCTTCGCCTGAGCCTCCACCAGGAGACACCCTGAACTCGTGAGTTTCGGGTTTGGGGGGAGTTGAGCCTTGGCAAAGGCCCCTCAGTCCACCTCCACCTCACTATAAACTTGGGTACATTAGGGATCTCAGTTTGGATATACGAATACACACCGATGATGACAGAATAGTATTGGTAATCATCGACAGATACCCCTCCTGATGTCCAGGGATGACTTATCGCTCTCCTCCTGAAGGCAAGTGCCTAGGATGAGGCGGGACTACTTGCAGCGCAGAAGCTCCTATAAAGTGGGGAAATCCTAACAAACGAGCTGCCTGTTTCAGGGGCCCTCAACAGGTTATCTGATACTCTTCCCAAGAGAATCCAAGAAACCTTGGTCTCAAGATTCGCCGAACGAATGTGTCCCCCCTACGGTGCAAAAGCACACATGCGCCCACTGAAGTACCTTGATCTAAGCCAGATGCGGAAACTCTCTCAAAAGGCAATTTTTTACTACCGTAAAAGAATTCAAGGGATCAGATTTCTGCGAACGGTACGCGGGCTTCTCAACACAGGGGTACTCTTGGAGACCCCAAACATATACGGGCGTCAAAGGGGATGGGACCATGGTCCCTAATGAGGATTCTCTAGCGCTAATTCGAGCCACTGAGTCCCAGGCCAGTAGCAAGCCTAGAGCTCCCAGCACGGCAATGCCGCCCAGGCCCATGATGCTCCATGGGCCGTGAACTGGCTCAAGCTAAGGGCTCTGAGGGCTTTGAGAGCTGAGGATGTTTTAGTTCAGGGATAGAATTTTTGACTTTGAGGTTTCGGGAAGGTCGAGTGCAGAATTGAACGCTTCAATTTAGGGTCAAATCGCAAGGGATTTGAGATCTGGGGTCGTAAGGGTGACATCTTCGCTTCACTGTTCAGTCTTGACCCAAAATATGCTGACTACCATAATTCCTAAGGATTAGGGGAGGATTTTCCCATCCAGCGCAAGGACTGAAGATTTTCCAGGAGAACTCTCAGCCCAACTAGCCCTCTGAGTTGCTCTGGGAATAGATGGTTTTGTTTGGGTCATTCCCCCTCCCAGCAACTGTCCATAAATGGCATGTTATTAAGGAGCTATAACAGTCCTTGTACCCAGTTCGGTAACAGTTATTGCAAGGGGGAATGACACAAGTTTTCATGGCATGGATAAAACTTTAGGTGTGGAGTTTAGGGCTTAGGGCTTAGGGTCTTGCGGTTCAGGATTTCAATGGAATTAGGAAACAGTGCGTAGGATTAGGCTGGGATCAGGATGTGGGGGCAGATCTGATTGAAGAGCTCCGACAACCAGATGCCCCTCGCTGAAATCTACTTCGCGTTCCCCTGCAAGACGCAGCCCGAACCTCCGCCAACAAAGGTTAAGGGTTTAGGGGCTTGTGGGGACCGCGGATAAACCTCTTTGGAACAAACAGTGGCCTTTGCGGGATTCCATGTTCGCCTGTTTGGGGCAAGGCACTCCCTTAACCAATATCCGCTTCTCCTGAACCACGAAACCTTAGCACAGAATCCCAAACCTTCAGCCCTAAACTAGCCAGAACTAGCCATGTGTCTGAAATTCTGGGCCATCCTAAAGGCACCCCGAAACCTGAACAAGCTTCGTTCTCCTATGGAAATTTCCAAAAAAGAGGGCCTTGGTATCTCCCAACAACGTTGTAATCGCAATTATAACTAGCCTCAGAAATGAACTGTGATTTTTAGAAACAACTACATCTACTCCCCAAACCGTTGTGAAAGCAACACGGCCTCTGCGAGCAGAGGGCGGTTCCTCGCAGAGAAGTTGGTTTAGTTTGGCTTGGGGATGAGGATTTATGGCCAGGGCTTACATGAAACTCGCCTCGTTCGGCTCATCAGGCTTCTCAGTGGTGTGCTTCCGCGCTTCCTGGCAACGCATCGCTGAGAGGGCTTCAACTGCGATCAGGGGCCTTTTGTAGGGTGTTAGTATCCCGGTGCGTCTAAGACATGGAGGGATCAAAGGGGATGCATGGGTTTAGGTCCCCCTGTTTATGGAAACCCCAAATGGCATTCAGGGGGTTTGGAGAAATCAATTGACCACGTGAGGTACTCAGGCGACTGGCAGGCTTCATAAAAGTTCTGCGAGGCCTCATAAGGCTTGTGACTTCTCGGACTTAGTTTTCATGGTGTTTAGGGATCACCATTCAAGTTTTCGGGATTGCGTCTGGTTTGGTTCGTGGATGGAAGCTTAAGGATTGGGAGTGAGGGATCAGTGTCAAGGAAGTAAGATGATGGGCGTGGACTAGGATTTGAGCACATGGATGACGAGAATTGCAGGTTCACATGTGCTCAGGATATGTGAGCTATGCCTGGGGATGTATGATGCTATGGTTCTGAAGGACGTATGAAGCGTGATAATTTGGCTGCTAATCATGCTTCTGTATTCCGAGGATGTAGGAAGCTAAGATCCCGAACTACATCCTAAACAACCTACATCCTGCATCCTTAACCCTGAAGCTCAAACACCCCAAATCCTAAACTCTGAACGCCGCCTCCCCCCGTTTCAGGCTTTTGGTATGGTAGAAAAACTCTGTTGACGCTACATGGTGCTCTCTCAAAATTGCGGGGGCCCCTTCTTGATATGCCGACTGCACTTTCAAAGGTATATGCGGGACCATAATATTGAGAAAGATTTGAGAATCCGTGCGGCAAAACATTGGACATGTGCAATATTCTTCTGAAGAACGCTTATCGACTCTTGTTGCTTCGAGTTGCAGGACTCGTGTACACGAACCAAGCTCAGCTGGCCCTGTAGGAGCCGGTCTCATGGACAAGATTGGACAAGTCTACAAATTCCTGGACATGCGCATGGCACGCCAGGTATCCCCGAATCCTAGACCATGTCAACCCTGATCCCTCCACACCGGACAGAAAGAGGCCTTGTGTTCAGGAGCTGTTGCCTTGGAAGGCAATGGTTTATTAACTATATTGCGTTATAGTATATTAGAGTATCTTGTAGTATATTGTAATATTTTATAATATATTATGGTATATCAAAGTGTATTATAGTATATTATGGTATATTATTAACTGTATTATAGTGAATTATGGTAACATTTCTTCACAAACTTCCCAAATTCAGGGTTTAGGCACTCATCCTTCGAAGAATCTATAGAGGAAATGTTCGGAAGTTTGGGCATTCCCCCTTGGCTGAAACAGAAAGCAGCTCAAGTATGAAGGGGTCGCGAATGGATATATCCCTTCCAGGGACCCTATAGTAAATCCTTGTATCGGACGTTCTCAAAATTATGGGTCCGCTGGCGATGGTCCCCCATGATGAGGGCCGTACTGTTCTCAATATGCACATTCAAGCGGCGAAGATCCCAAACAGCAAGAGTTGGAATGGCATGGAAGTTGACAGGAGCAGAGACAAGGGTTAGAATCCCTAATTCTTGAAGCCACCCAGACCCCCTGCAGTCAAGCCATTTGGAGAAAACCCGAGTCTAAGAGGCACGCCTACTCCCCCACTTGAAATCTCGACCCTTATCTGGATGTCCTTTAGGTTGCCACCATGCTAATTCCAAAGATGTGTTTCTGAATGTGAAGGGATCTGATCGATCTCCCTGAGGTCGTTTTGAGGGTTGGCAACGAAATGCCCTTCATGGGTGTTGTTCGGTTCCCTGTTCAGGACTTACGGGGACTGTGAACGGAGTATATTTGACTATGGAAAGTCTCGGCTCCCTTTATATCAGGCTGCTACAAAGTCCCAATAATCAGGATTCTACTATCTTTGAACATATACGGACTCTCACTTCACTGAAGGCCCCAGTGATGCAAACTATGCTTGCAAACGTCTGCCAGGTGAAAGCCTGCTCTGAATGCAATCCTCTGGAAAAAAGCTAGCTTCAAAGAGCACACACTATCCTCAACACAATATCTGAAAACCTGAAACTGCCCTGGCACATGAGCACTCCCCTTGCATCAGCGTATGGCGCAGGAGCTGTGCTGCACAATAATAAGGACCACATGAGATTGCGTGTACTCAGGGAGTATTCCATTTCCATCAGCTGTGATCGCGGCAACCAAATCCCTAAGCCCTGATCCTTCAGTCCCATATGCCCGCCTCAGCATGACATCTATCCCCTGTCATGATCCATCTTCCCCCTGAGCCCTGCGCAACATGGGTTTAGGAGCACTGTTGAGTTGAAGAGCCCGGCAAAACGCCAACGAACCTCGTAGGTGTCAATAACACCGTAAAACCTGAAACTTTAAATCCGAAACTCCGACACTCTAAACCTCAACCGCGAGCCAGAACAGCGGAGGTGCCCGGATTGGCAGTCCCTCGCTAGACACGTTGGGAAGACCAGCGATTTGAACCTCCAACGCCATGTTTCTGAGCGGCGGAGGGTTGAGGGTTGACTGCTTTGGATGAAGGGCGCTCCAATGCAGGGTCTACTGCTGTTCGCGGTAGAGTTCAATGGGGGGGATTTCGTATCTCTGGGTGGGAATAAACTTTAACTACCTGCGTTGCGTCCCACAGTTGCCAAAATCGCCCAACATGTAGGGGAATTCCTAGGCCCTGGGCCCTTGCCAGCCCGTAAACACTCCTTAACGCAAGTCCCACATCTTAGCCTCAACCGCTCTTGCACAAAAAGCAAAAACCTATTTTCAAAACAAGGGTAATAAGGATTTGGATCATAATCTCGAGGTCTTCGAGTGACAAAGGAGACCCAAGTAGATGTAAGGCTTAGGTTCTGTTGGTAAGCGTTTAAGTAATGCTGAATGATAACTGCTAGCATTCTAAGAAGAACAAAAATAAAATTCTGATTTAGTTGGGTAAGGCTACGCAGAAAGCACGTGTGCGTGTGTGTTTGCCGATTCCTCATGGCCTCGTACACCCTGCCCAGAGGTGCGACACCTCTCCCTGAAAAAAGAACCACATTGCTCAGCCCTGGTGCACCTTCTCGATGTTTGTGACGACTTTGCCCAAGACGTCGTGAATGGTCTCGCCACGTGGATTACAGGTTTCAATGGGGGCTCAAGCAAGCACGATACAAAAGGTTTAAAAACATTGCGGTAACGTAAGGCAAAATGTCCGCGATTAGGGACGCATCTGCAACTCAACTGCATGAGATCTGGTAGAGGGCATAGTCTCAGCCACAATTCAACCTGAAAGAGCCAGACAAGCAAGCTGGACACATAACAGCGTAATGCTGCGCCAAGCAAATTGAGAAGAAAAAAAGAAGAAGAAGAAGAAAAAAAAAAAGGAAACGTGCCGAACGCCTTCTTGGCCTCTTGCAGCCCTGCCCGAACCCATAAAGCGCCCTGAGCTTGTGTGCAGATCCTTGTATTGCCTGAAACCCCTGGATCCTTAAACGTAAAAAGCAAGCGCGTCGCGCTTCTTTTCATCTTTTTCTTATGCTACTACTTCTTCTGCTGTTGCTGCTGCTACTACTACTACTACTACTACTGCTACTGCTACTGCTACTCCCACCACGACGACAACAACGACGATGACGACGAGGAGGAGGACGACGACGACGGCGACGACGGCGACGACCACAACCATGACGACGACGGCGGCGGCGGCGGCGGCGACGACGACGACGACTACTTGTACTACTGTTCCTGCTGCTGTTGCTGCTGCTGCTACTACTAATGCTACTACGACTGCTACTGCAAGTACTACTACCGCTACTGCGGATGGATGAAAGCCTGCACGACCCTCTATAGTCCCAGAACTGGTTGCAGTGTATGGCGGGTGCTAAGTGCTGCAGAATTTCCTCCATCCACTGCAACAGTAGAACAGTATTAGTAGTAGAAAGAATAATGGTCGTGGGGTAGTAGTAATAGTAAATAATACTAATAATAGTAGTAGTAACAGTAGCAGCAATAGCAGCAATGGAAGCAGTAATAGAAGCACTACTAGCAGCAGTAGCAGCAGTCGCTATAGTAGTTGTCGTAGTGCTGCAAAAGCAGTAGCTGCATACAATGGTGGCAGTTGCTGTGGCGGCAGCAGTGCCAGCAGTTCCATCATGCGGTAGTAGTTGCAGTAGCAACAGTAGCGCATAGTGAGAGCACTTTGCCTACACAATATGAGAGCATAATTGCCATGCGAGTGCGATATTCAGCATGCGAAATGTAGGCAGTGAAGCCCTCAGCAATCGTCACAGAAGTTGCCGTCAAGCAATGCCTCTTGCTGCTGGTGCAACAGGTATTGTGTAAAGGACAGTCAGAATCAGCATAGTAGCAGCAGTCCTGGCAGAACATGCGCATGCTGAACCCGGCCCCTAAACAAGAAGCCTCGGCTGTGGTGTTGGCTACGTCCCCGATAACGGCCGAATCGAGGCTGCCCACCTTTCTCGCTGACTCTTACAGGCTTCCAGGGGTTTGAGGTTTGGGCTGCAGTTGAGGATTTTAATTGGTTGAAGGTTTCAGCTTTGGGGTCTGGGGGGTTGTGGGTCTGGGCTTTGGGTCGGAAACAATTACACCAAACTTGCGTCACCCGTTAAAATGATGACACCAGCATTATCCGATGGCTTAACTTAAGGCTTTAGGCCCCGGTTTTGGTGCGTAGTGTCTGGAGAGAAGAAGCTAATAGCTTTGCAAATACGTAACGGAAGAGCGCTTTCGCAGAAAGAAACCGTCTCGTAGAATCAACACGGTGACAACTCTGCTGTCGTCCTCGTAGCAATATCAACATGAGATGTAGCAATGCACACTGCAGTTGTCGCAGAAACCTCATGTTTACATAGATCCACTTGTGGTCCTCGCTCATCCTCATAGCAACAAGGCCTGCGCATGAGCGTATGCGAGGCAACTACACGGATAATTGCTGTGCAAAGAGCTCTCCTTGAACCGCTCAGAAATGTTTGTGTTGTCTTCATTTTGTCGGCAGATTCTGTATGCCTGGATGATTTCCCCAAAAAACTACAACGCTTCCAACATCCTCTGAATCGCAGTTAAACATCCAACGAGCTGTGTCGACATGCACTCCAAATGCGAATATACTAGAGCTTACGGGAGTTGGGGAGTGGATCCCAATGATCATCCTGTCAAAACCATGACAGCTTATGGTTGAGCACCCTGCTTAGAGCCCAACCTTCAATCATCTGAATCCCAACTTGCCATACTCAGCCCCAAAAAGTACACACAATGACCCACATATGCTGCAGATATGAAGCTGCAAGCGCCAACATCTAAATCAAAAACCTGTAAATTCCTTAACCTGGAACCCCATGCCCCCACCTGTAGCCTTTAATCCTATTGACAACAACGAGACACCAGCGCCGACATATGCAGGTGCCCATGAGTGGCATTCCTCACCGAGCGCCTTGGGATTTTGGGATTTAGGATTCTGATTTCGGGCTTTGTCTGCCACCAACGGTTTGCATGTTGGGCTCAAAGGGGATGGGTCTAGGGAGTCTAGGGTTTACAGTGGCTCCAGTTGGCCTGCCCATCCCCTTATGTTAGAACTGAGCTATCCAAGTGCAGATCAATCTCTGACTTTCCATGAAGTTCCAAAGGCATTTTGCTTCGGCCTCGGGGGTTGATGTGGAAATTGCGCTTGATTTGGAGTTTTCAGGGGGTTTAGGGTTCAGGGCTTCAAGGGCTTGGGAGTTTGGTTTGGGATTTGATCATGGAATGTGCACATAGGAGTCAAGATCTCGATAATACACCTAATAGCAGCACATTTTTTTGGCAATGCTCGTGTAGCCTTGATCGATGGAGCCGGGTGCATCACAGGACACACAATTCATCATCATACAATACCGCGATCTTTCTGTCCTGAAAACACGCAAAAGGACCACCACTGACTGAGAAACATCCTGAGATTTGAGGCGCAATTTATGGACCAGCAGCCGAGATAATGAGAAAGGGTTATCCCAAATCTTCTTCATTTCAAGGCGCGAGTGGACTTGCACTGCGGTGTCTTCAATCAGCTTCACCTGGCATTTATGAAACCTTCAATGGATAGATCTTGCGTGCTGAAAAAAAAAACGATCTTTGATTCAGACTATGGGGGAGCTTGCGACAGTAGAGAAGCCTTTCTTATCGCTTAGAGCGTGTAGTGAGGCAGAGGCTTATAAGCGCCGGTGCGGCACTGAATATGAGCCTTAAAGGCAAAAGGAGGGGCCCTGTTTGGGGGTGCCCGTACTGCGTACTGAGGATTATAGAATACAGCGGTCTGTATTTGGGTCCCGGTCCCACTGATCATGGAGACTACCATATGGGGACTGTTTGGGGGGCTTGTCTCTCAAGGGATCCGCTCCGCAATCCCTCTTAAGCAGAGGTAAGTCGAAAGTTTACCCTCACTTCTTGAGATGACGTCTAACTCACTTCGCAAAACAGGAGCCATCTGAAAGTTTTTCTATAGATGAGAAGCAACGATTCCAGTTCAACCCGTCCTCCAGATGGAACCCTTGAGCTCCACTGACAGGCGCAACAGAAATCGATACAAATGGGATAGCTACGCCTATCACCAGGATAAGGTCCAGTACCCATGTCACAACCCATGAGACTCCAGTAGAAAATGTTCTGTTCTTCAAAGACGAACTGGTTGGCCACAACCCTCGCCAAGCAATTCCTACGCGCTCCCAGTCGTCCCCGCAATGGATTCTCTCCATTCCATGGACCAAGGAGGTCAAGAGCATGGGAGAAACAAGCTTGCAATAGTCTGCTTTTGCGGATGATTCCTATTACTTCTGCTATCAGCGCTGATTTTAACCCTAATGAGACTGAGAATAATGAAAAACAACGATGACGACTACTGAAGCTCCCACCTCCTATCACTTCCTATCACTTGTCCTCTTGTTTCGTATGAGTTTTGGTAACTATGGTGCGTTTTGGGGGGTCCCCATGGCAATTCGGCATCTATCTTGGTCTCCCGCCCAAAGAAAAACAAAATCCTTACAGTCGCCCAATTTGCATTCCTACATATAATCCCTATATAACCCCATATTAGAGTAGTTTCCATTTTCTTTTCCATTATCCCAGTATGAACCCTATATATATATATAACATTGCTTCCAGCAGGGGCCTTGAGACGGTCCTCCAATGTGGTGATCACATCATGGATCCTTGGAGGCTTCTTAAAGGGTTGATTTCTACTGGTATCGTAAGGAATTTCTTAGATGCAAAGGGCGATGGGGATAACTTATTCTGACTTGGCAGTTATACAGTGCGCTGCATAGGGGTTGGGGTATTGGAAACTGAGAAAAGCCATGATCGATCCTAGCGCTAACCCCAAACTCCTGAAACCCTTAGCCGCTAATCCTCAACCCACGCATAATACAGTATATTCTGGTATAACATAGTATATTATGGTATAATATAGTATATTATGGTATAATAGTATATGATGGTATAATATAGTATAGTATGGTAGAATATACTATATTCAACCCAGCCCAGGATCTCCGTGCCGTTAGGGCCGGCTATGTCCACGCGCACACTCACGTTGCCTGGCCTGGGCTGCTTTCATGTTTTGCAATTGTTGAAGCTTATTATACCATAATATACTATATTATACCATAATAGCTTTTGGGCCTTTGGGAGTGTTGAAGGCTTCCTGGCTTAAACGCAGCAATGGTACTCTGGGGGTCGAAGGATTCACGACTTTGGGTTAGGGTTCAAGGCTTCGGGTGGACACTCTGACTCTGATATTTAGCCACTCTCAACCAAGACTACGCTAAATTACCACGAGGAACCATCTGTCCAAGCCCAAACTCAAGAACGCACAGATGGGGGCTTTTCCACTGCTTCTGTCCCCCATCCCTGAAGGGGCATGGAGTCTTCATTATTTGGGAAATGGGAGGTTTCCTTGGGCAGCAGGGATGAGTCCCAATATCTGCATCTGAAGCACAGGCCACCGGATGAGACGTGCAGCAACGAGACCGGCCTGGCTTTGGGATCCGGGCTTTTTGGGGGAGACATAGTATATTGGGGTTCTATGGGGGTAATATAGGTTATATAGGGATGAGGGCTTGAGGTTTATGGTTCCTCTGGCATAAAGAATTGAGGTCTTAGGGTTTAGAGTTTACAGGCAGGCTTCTGTTTAGGGCCCACAAAACATGGATCGTAGGATTCGGGACCCTTCCTGCGGGAGGGAAACGTCAGCCCCACTGGTTGCAGACGCTGCGTCAACAAGCTTAAGAGTACTCTGTAATATACACTGATGAAAAGTCACAATGTAAGGGCTTGGAGATGGAACTTCCTGGGGTGCACGGTGTACTGCAAGCGTTCATTAGAATGGGGTTTTGGGCCAACGTGGACCATAGTCTGAGCATTGAAGGTGAGATGAGTGGGCATTTCACTCACAGTGAGCTTCATGCAGCATAGGGTTTTGGCGTATGTTTTTCTGTAGTCATATAAAGCATCCTGAAAGAAAACGTTGGTATTCGCTGAGGCTTCTACATTGGGAGTAAGAAATTTGCCAAGGGGCAAGGGTCCCAGGATTACTGCATTGCTGTTATGGAACTGAAAACAAAGCTTACGTTCTAGGGAAACCTGTGCTTTCTACTATTTCTCACAGTATATAATTGGGTAACAGCAACCCAGGTTAAGATTAGGATCGCCCAATAGACCCCGCAAAACAAGGCGCTCATCGTTAGAGAGACCTCAATAAGGGCCCCTGCATCTTCGGGACGTATTGGATGCAGGACGACAACATAAAGGGCCTACAGCCAATTGAGGCATGCGTCCTACGGTCAAAGTCTCCGAACCAAGGTGCTTAGCTGCCCCAAGCAAGTTCGGAGGAAATCGCTTCAGCCATCCCGCTCAAAAATCTCTCAAACCCTGAATACCCCCCCCAGTCCCCCCTGAACACGTCTGTCACAAGAAGGCAGCAACCACAAGCCCCAAGAGGGTTTCCCAAAATTCGGGGTACCCTTCTAGGTCCCCATGGTAAGGATTATAATAGTTTTGGGTCCATATTGGGGTCGGGTCCCCCCTCTTTAGGGAAACTACCGTATGCTTCAAGTCCTAACCTAGAGCCGGAGCCCTCCAGACAAAGGCCCAGAATCTCCGGAGCCCAACCAGACCCCAAACTGGGTTGCTGCCAAGGAGCTTAATTGGGGGAGAATGGGGGAACTATATCAATTACTACATATGCCCCTTATGACTCAAATTCCTTAAGAGCAGCCCAGGAAAGTGCACCCAAGCAACTTGTGCTCGGTGGCATTCAGCCGGCCTGAGATGACAAGGCATATTTGTAAGAACGATGAAGCATGACGACTGTGGCTGAGCATAGAATACTGTTTCCTGCGGATGGCCTTGGCAACACTCAACATGCAGTCCAAGCACCCTCTGTGAGGACATGCAGAATTGGTGGCACACAAGATCGAGTGTCTCGGATCTTGGTGTTGCTAAGCTGGGGGAGGGTAGATTCAAAAAGTGATGCAGTTCTCATTGCACGAATCCCTGAAGAGAAACTATTTCGGGAAGCCACGATGTCAGCCAGAGGCAATGGGAAGCAATGTAAACCAGCCCTTCACCCTGGATCCTAAACCCTGAACTGAACCACTACAGCTGCCCGAACCCCTCAAAACTTTTTCCGTAACCCTCAAGAGTTGGAGGCAATGACTTTGTTAGAACTGCCATGGGTTCCTTGTTTTGGTGGCTGGGGTACGTGCCAAACGCAAAGCCAAAGGAACTGTAACTGAAAACGTCAAACCACTGACTCGCCTCCGACGTCGTAACCATTGGCCTCATCTACCTAAATCTTGACTGAACACCCACCCACGACACAACACCAATGATTCCGGAACAATTTTATTATGTACTACCCATATACTCCATATACAATCCCCCGTATCCCCTCTAAATTAAGGACTTTAGACCCTACACCCCAAACCCTATGTAACCCCCTTTAAGGAGTTTAGACTCTAGCTCTAGTGGGCTCCAAGCGTCGCAGGGCTTTCTTGGCGTAGGCTTCGGCGCCCTCGGACTGGAGGTCCGCCACTGTGGAGGTCCCGAGGATGCCCTCCAAAAAAGGGTTTAGGGTTCAGGGTACAGGTTTACTGCTTAAGGCTTAGGGTTTAGGGCTTAGGATTTAGGGTTTAGGGCTTAGGGCTTAGGATTTAGGATTTAGGGCTTAGGGCTTTGGATTTAGAGTTTAGGGTTTAGGGGGAGTCCAGCACACCCTAAACCCTATAAGGGGGTTTCCCAAAATTAGTGGCATCTTCTTGGGTTCCAATAGTGGTAGTATTCATATTTTCGGATCTACATTGGTCCCCCTCTGGAGGGAACTTACCATGTATCCTTGTATACCTCGATGCATCCCATGTATCATATAACCCCTTCGAAGGGACCTCTAAGTTTGAGCATTAGCTTTATGGTTTGCTACACTGCGACTGTTTCCTGATACATGTCCCAAGGGCTGAATACTCCCTAAACGCTAAACCATGCATGACTTGAAGGGCTGGACTTGTTGAGTTTCAAACTTGGCATGGGCGGTTTTGGCTTTTCGGCTTCTTGTCTATGACCGCGACTGGGGGCCCCAGAGTGCAAACCTTCAATCTTTAGGGTTTCGGGGGCTTAAGCTTTTCGCCCCAGACGGGTGGCCCAGGGTGGAAGACCTCCCTGGTGCTTAGGAGGGAATGGGGGAATGGATTACAGGGATTATCATTAGGGATTATATAGGGACTACTGTAGGGATCCATTCCCCGATTCCCTCCTAAGCACCAGGGAGATTTACAAGAACTCCCGAGCCTCGATAGAGCCCCGGACAGCCTTTGCCATCATCAGCTCCTGCAAAAGCTGGAGCGAAGGGGGTTTAGGGTCTGGTGTTTAGGGTTTAGGGTGTAGGGGTATAATATAGAGGTTATATAAGGATAATGGAAAATAGAGTGGAAACTACTATATAAGTTTCAGGGTAGTTTTTCTGTATATGCGGGATCAGGTTTCCTACATCTACCCTGTTTTGGTAAAATGGAGCTGTACAGAAAAGTTTGGGTTCATGCAGACACCAACGCGTTTCGGGCATTCCTTCGACGTGCCCAGATTGATCAAACAAGGCCCCCCTCATACACTCCAAGACACAAAGGCTACCCTTTTGAGGGGCATTAAAGCAGGACGCACAAGTTAACAGGTTCTGATTCCCACGACTCAGGCATAGTAGCTTCCATTTTCTTTTCCACTACCCCTACATGGCCCTATATATCCCTTCATATCCCTAGACCCGCAGCCCTCGTAGCCCATCTTACAGCAGCGGAGCCCTCTTCCTCTGTGACGTTGCCCACAGCTTGGGCCAGCATCTCATCGTACACGAGCCTTGGATAATGGTTATCAAGGCGTGTGCCATTGAGGTCGTTACTCTGTATAAAGCTGTGTAAGAATGAGATCGAGCCTTGCAAAGCTCCACAAGATTTGAGGCTTGTCGGGTTCAAAGGAGCTGCAACGTTCGTAGGTTCCAAGGATGCTGGCGCGTTCGTTCTGCTGTCTACGTGCCGCATGTGTGCTTGTGTGAAGGCACCTCTTTCAAAATTCTAGCTGGAGAATGCAAATATCAGGGATAAGAATGATGTTCAATGCCAGTCATAGTCATGCAACGGAGGGGCAACACTATTAGCAGTTCAAAGTATTCATGCGCAGTCTGCAAACTGTTTAGGATCAGCCTATACAACTACAGCTTCAGGGGAGTGCTCATGTATGGAGCCAAACCTGAGCAAGAACTCCTTAAGCCTTCCAATGCACTACAAGGGGCAGTTGTAAAGGAATTTGCTCTAGTTTAAGGAGTGGGATACGTGGGGGCAGAGGCAAACATACGGCTACTAAGCCGCCCCCAAGGCCACGCCTCGCCCAAGGTATTGCCACGAGATCTTTTCTTGCCAAGTTGGCTACCTATAAGCTAGAGTCTAAACTCCCAGTATCCCCCCTCAGAGTCCCCACAGCAGTCCCCTATAAAATCCCGTCCGTAACCCCTTTTAAGGAGATTAGACTATAGCTCAAACGAGAATTTCCAAACATTCGAGTCCCTTTTAAATCCTTCTGGGAAACCCTAAATAGCAGTTTCCATCTTATTTTCCATTTAGCCTACATAAACCCTGAACCCTAAATAGTAGTTTCCATTAGTTTCCACTTTATCTTCCATTATTCCTTTACTAAACCCAAAATCCCAACCAGTGAGTCTTCCCAGTGGCCGGAATTCTTCCTCCTCGCTTTTGTAGCTACCTGGCTCAAGGGATGCCTTTCTTACCACAACCTAGGTTTACCTAATTTTAGGGCTTAGGGTTTAGGGTTTGGGGTTGGTTGAGGGCTTTGGGACTTGGGGTTTAGGGTTTTGGGTTGGGGTTCAAGGTTTAGCTTAGGGCTTGGGGTTTAGGGTTTGGGGTTGGGGTTTAAGGTTTGGGGTTTAAGGTTTAGGGATAAGAGTTTCGGGTTTGGGGTTCCGGGTTTAGGGCGTGGGGTTCGGTGCAACATGAGCCTTCTTAAATATGGTAGGATTGCGTAGACACCAAATGTTCAAAGGCTGCGTACTCCAAAGGTTGCGTACTCTGCTACGAGGATCAAAAACGTAAATGGAGCTTTGGGATGAGAATGTTGTGGAATGCGGGTACTGGATTTAGGGTTTAGGGTGCCCTACAAACCTGTAGGCAATAATCTTGAGGACCTGCTCTGTGTCCTTGGAAGGATCGTAGCCTGTTGTTTGAGCCGTGGTCTCAACTCCTAGTATCCCCATGAATAACCCCTATAGTAGTCCCTTATACAATCCCTTCTAAAACCCCCTATAAGGAGTTTAGAGTATGGCTCATTTGGGGTAACCAGGCTTGTGGGCTTAGATCTCAGAGCCACCCGAGGCGAGGCTCCAATGCTGCTGCATGAAGCTTTTTTTGGGGGAAACCAAAATTAAGTTACTACCCTAATGTTCAGTCACTATAATCAGGGTATATAGGGTATAGGATTTTGGGGTTAGGGTTACTATCATAAGGAAATCCTTTTATTTACTATATACCCATATTATGGTAACCTTAAGTTAAGTTCCAGAACAGCAACCCAAGTTTGCTGGGGTGGTACCCCTCAATAAGAGGTGCCAAAAGGGGCCCATAACTTTGAGAACAACCCAGAGGTCCCCATAATCTCCACAAAATCCCCTACGTAATATACACCTGAGCCCTTATATCATCCCCCCTGGACCCCGTCACATCAGCCCACTCTCAGCGCTCAGAACTCCTGCCTGCCAGTTCAAAGGCTTCCTTGGCCTGGGCTTCAAGAACCTGCACCTCCGTGACGTTGACAAAAGCTCCTGAAGCAAAATTGCAACCAACTGGGCTGCCATTAAGGTGGGTATACCAAGTTACCAAAAAGGTAGGAGACCTCCCTATTCTGGTAACTTCATCTAGATTCCTTAACAGCGACCCAGCCAAGGGTTGAAAGCTTGTATAATGCTTGCGTGGATCGTTTAATGCCGTGTGCTTGCGGCTACAGGCCTGAGGTTTGGGGCTCAGACTACGGCTACGGCTTGAAGCTTTAAAAGGCCCAAGGCCCAGGATCCAGAGCTGGAGTTCGGGAGGAAGCTGGAAAGTCAGCAGCGAGTTCTCAAGTACTCATGAAGCACCGTGATTTTACCGGGACTGTGCGGGGATTACAGAATGATGGCTTGTTGGTCGAAACACGGTGAGAATATCACGCCTAGCTGCAAAAGGAGAAAGGATCTGTTAGCAAGCTTATTCTACGGCAAACACTGTTGGTCAAATCCAACGATTCTACAACCTGCTTTGTTTTCTACAAGTGCCCAAGGGCCCCCAGATCATCCTTCCCGAGCACCACACTTGAAGGTCCATGGGTCGCTTGGCATGAGTTGTCATGAGTGTGTACCCAAAACTTTGCACCTAGACCAACCCTACTGCTAACTGCCAATAAATCTCCAAGTGAATCCTTGAGCGCCTACCTTACTTTGTTCCCTGAAAGCTCAATTTTTGGAGGCTGGATCCGGTGGTCCTGGCACATTCATCTCAGCTTTCATCTGCAGGGACCAGTGGGCTCAGGGCTGGTATTTACCCGGCTGTTCTGTAAGTTTAATGCGTAGGATTTGGGATTTACGGCCACTTTCAGCTCCTGCAGTGGGCTTGCAGCTTGTACGAGCATAAGTTTGCTGGCTTAGGTGTCGGGTGTCAAGGTGCTAGGATCATGCCTGGCTTGAATGCTTCAGGCTTTGGTTCGAAAATCCGGGGTTGAGCGGCTTTGGATTTTGGACTCGCAAGACGACACCAGTGCTCCTACAGTACAAGGATGCACTCCTCGCCCATGATCCATCCCATGCCCCGTGCCGAACATGCACTTCTGACGCCAGGTGCAGTATCCCACGAAACAACATACGCGAAACACCAAAACAAGTCCTGTAGCGATCTACACCCTCCTGAGCCCCTGAAAACCACCTGGAACACCCTCGATTCACTTCGTAAAAAAGATGGGGTCTGCACACTGCCCCCCACGCCCCCCACCCAACACAATCGTATTGTGAGCCCTGCATTCAATTAACTTCAGAGGCTAAGTGCTCCGTATTTCAGTGACACTGAAATAGGGAGAACTCTGCTGTAAAATGTCAACACCAACCAAATTCCGCAACCCTAAACCCTAAGTCGTGAGTTAGTCCCTCTAGGCCTTGTCTGCCTTAGCAGTTCGGTTCTTGCCGACAGCCCTCAGTGTCATGTCTGGGGCTTGTTCTTTAAGGTCTGAGGAAGGTTTGTGGGTGAAGGTCTTTCTTTGCGGTTAGAAATTCACATTTAAAGTTCGATGTCATTGTCTCGGGGTCCCTTTTGGGGTTCTGAATGTTCTAGTCTAGGAAAGGATACGTGGATGTAAGGTCGGTAAGGTCTAGAGCATATGGATTAGGATTCAAGGTTGCTTCTCGAACAAAGGGTCTTCAGAGGGCCGCTGTTGGGAAACGCAAGTTTATGTTTGGGTGTTTACGTGAGCCCTGTCTGTTTGATGATGAACCTGTTGCCAGCATGGGCTCGAAGTTTAAATCCAACGTCGCACAGAATAGAGTGCTCTGTTCTGGAACTGACCTACAGAATTCTATGCTTCTGTGCAACAACGAGCCATCCAAAAGAAGAGGCCAGGGATCAGCTTTGCTCGCTGAAGAAAGCCTGCAGGGATCTGCACTTTGGAGTACGGGCTTTAAGCCTAAGTTGTTCAGGGTTTACATCCCATTTAAACCTATGCAGGCCGCCAAACACAGAGATCCCTAAACCTCAACCTGAATGAAATCGTAAAACCACGAGGGTGCAAACCTCAGTGTCTTAACCCCATGAGATCTGAACCCAACCAACTCTGAACCTCAGCCCCCATATCTTTCAAAAACAAAGCCGTTACCTGGCCCACAACATACACCCTAAACTGTGCCCCAATGGAATGTTTCTTGCTCAAAACAGAACTGTCTACGCACGAAAGATGAATGAACGCGACAAGGCAAGCTCCGTAGAATGTACGGCGACGTCTGACAAGCAATTGGTATACTTGCAGCCGTCCTAAATGCCCAGCCATACCAGGCCCGACCCAAAACATTGACCGTATGCGCTTGTCGAATCCTGAACAGGCCACAAAAGACCAGGAGAATCCTGCACAAACCGACCTTTCATCACGAAAACTTATTTTGACCTAAACGCCCACAACCCCACTTCGGAGACCCTGCCCTTTCGGACCCAGGGGCAGATAACGCTTGACTGCCTCTGCGGCCTATGAGGCTGCTGCACGGGTTGTGGGTTTGGGGCTTAGGGTTTTGGGTTTAAGGCTTAGGGCTTAGGGTTTGGGGTTTAGGGTTTAAGGTTTAGAGCTTAGGCTTTAGGGCGTAGGGTTCCAAAAAGAACTGGTGGGCTTTGGGGCTACTTGATTCAAGGCATAGGGCATAATTAGGATCTAGTATTTAGGCTTGTAGAGAACATTTGAAATTCTGGAGAATCTCAAGGTCATGCGCTCTTTCTTGGGGCCGTTAGCATACAAAGCGGTTTGTTTTGCGGGTAGATAGACGAACCTGAGATTGAGAAACGACACCTTAACTAAGTGGGCTTCGTAAGGGAACATTCTATCGGGATGAAATAGGGCCCTACTAACCACCAGTAAGTTAAATGCTTCACACCCCCAACGAAACAAATACTCAAAATGCGACTCTCTCAACCACATTATCAGGCTCCAGCCTGATACAAAAGATATTCATCCTCAAGAAGGTCTGGTGCCAAAAAGCCTATGGTTTAGGGTTTAGGGCAAACCTGAAATGGTTTAGATGCCACAAAACTTCTACATTCCGCGGTTGCCGGCTCTTGAAGGCTCAAGCTTCTTGTGCAGGAGAGTCTGGATCTTGAGCCCGAAGCTCTATATGAACCCTAAAGCCCAAACCCCATAACCCCAAAAACCCTATGAATCCCATTAATCTTGAAGCTCTAAACCCTTAACCCAAATCCCTCAACCCTAAGCCTTGTAATGGACCCCTAGAGTAACTAACCCCTTCATAGCCCCTATCATACAGACGCTTCCATTTTCCTTTCCATTCCATCATTCCCTGCTGACAACCAACAGCACATTCCTAGACCTAGATACCCGTGTAAACCCCAAGTGTCCAAGTCATTCTCCACATCCTTCTCGATTTGATTTTCACCCTAAACCCAAACCCAAAACACTAACAGCAGATTTACCCTGAGCCCTTCTGTTGAGCCTCCTTCGCCTCTGTGTTTGCCACCTCCGCATCCGCCTGCATTCAGCAGACTTCAAAGGTTTAGGGTTTACGGGTTGGGCTCTGTTTATAGGAGCCTTAGGGCTGATTCATGGCTTAAAGCTGAATGCTTAGAATTCAGGGTTCAGGGTTTTTGCTCCGAGTAGAACCTCCAAGTTGCCAATTCGTGGTTGCAGCGGGCTATCTGGAAGACGCGGGGTACTCAGAATGATTTGCTCTCCGGGCCCCATTGCTTCTTCTTCTGTCAGACTACTGCCACAAGCCTTGTCAAAAGCCTGTTACGGCCTTCAGAATCTTTGACCACCCTGCCACACTCATGGCCGCTTCAAACGAGCACTACACAGTTCGAGTCAAACTCCTGAACTGCGCCTCTCTGACTGAAAACACAATCTGATCCATTCGCACGCATTCAGAATCCTGTCTATATGAATCACGGACCCTAACTGATGATTTAGCCTACAGCTTCCCTAATGATACCTGTTTTTCCTATCTCAAAGATACTGAAAATTTGCACCTCCAACTCCTCTTATCCTCATGTATTGCTTGGGTCAAATCCCCACCCAGTAATGGGTACACAAGGGACTATTGTAGGTACATTTATGCCCTAACTAATTCCATACTTAGGGGCTATTAATGTAAGGGGGATTGACCTAACCAACATACAATTTCCAGGGGGATTTATATTACCGCAATGTCCATGTCATCGTCCATTCTCTTTTCCCTTTTTGATTCTCCATTATAGGGGTAAATAGTACCCCTAATTTTGGGAAACCTAAACCCTAAGTAGTAGCTTCCAGCTTCTTTTCCATTACCCCTATTTAACCACTGTAGGGGGGATTGCCCTAATCTATTGCCCTATATCTGTTGCTTGGTGGCTTGACACAGCTCGCGCCTCCGCGTTCTGCGCAGCCACGGCTGCCTTCTCAAAGCTCTCAAAGGCCTGCAAGTTATCTTGTTGGGGATTAGTAGGGAGTGAGGGAATGCTATACTGGGATTGTGTAGGGATTATACTTCCCTCTTCCCTGCAAACCACCAGTAAGGTATCAAGAGTATGGGGCGTATGGTACAGCATGCTTTAGTGGTTTAGGATGTAGTGAGCGAGGTTGGGGGTTTAAGGTTCAGAGTGGTGTGTGGTGCGTGGGGGGGTATGGTCTCGGAAAGTAACTATTGCATGATAGCCTTAAACCCCAAACCCAATGCTCCCAAAGCCCCAGGCTCCAAGTCCTTAAACGCCACATTCTAAACACAAAACAAACCTTAAAACAGCCTAATGACCTAAGCCACTAAATGCTAAAAAGCCCAAAACCCTACAGGCCCTGAACCCTAAAAGTCCTAAACCCTGAACTCGGAAGCCCTGAACCACTTGAGAAATCCTGCCTCTTGCGACTTCTGCGCAGCCAGGCCCTTGGTTCCCCCAGAACATTCGATGAAAGAGAAGGATGTCTGAAATCAGGGTGCCCTTGAGTCTCGGTGAAGGGGTCAGAGTGGATATATTGGGTTAAAGGAGCCGACCTTGCGGTTAAGGAATTGAGGTATCGAGCAAGGTTTGGCCTGTTGACATTTTACAATTTCGGGCGGTACGGGGCTTAGACATCAAGGTTCAGGTTGTCGGGCTTACATTTGGGGCGTATGAAGGTTCAAAGTGTAGAGCTTGAGGCACCATGAGTTCTACCTCTATTTGAAGAAACGCTTGCAAAACATGTCATTCATTCCTTCAAGTTTGGAACCTGAAGCTTAAACTGACTCAACCGTGGACCTCAAACCTTGAACTACCAGATCCGACATATGCCCAAACTAACGCCTTACATGCATATATACATGCTTCCAAAACAAACATGCTTGCAACAAAACAGCGCAAATTGCAGCCCCTGCATCCGCCCTAATATCCCGTGCTTAACTCCTTAACAAGCATATGTGCCCTACACCCAGAACCTCCGAAAGAACCGTGTGGCGCTTAGCAGGCAGTAAAGGACAGGATCCCATACGCCATGCCATGCCATGCCCCTCACGCCATGCGCCTGAGCCCTGAATTCGAAACCCTCAAATCTCAACCTGAAACCCGCAACCCTAACATATTGACTCCTATGCAGTCCCCCGCAATAATTCCTATGAGCCTAAACTGGTTTACTTCAAATGGTAAAAAACTGCAGCCCTGGGCTTCCCACAGCCATCTCCACTTGCACGGCCAACTCCCCGACACTCGGGACCGGTAGAGTCTGGCCACAGCGAAGAGTGGGCTTCAGTGTAACAGCGCTATCAAGGGTTTAGGGTTGAGGGCTTAAGGCTTTCGGGTGTAGGGGTTAAGGTATTGGAAGAATACGCTCCCCCCCAAAAATGAGGATCGTAATTTTGAAAATTACCATATTAATATCAAACTGCAGTCCGACGTACCAAGACCCTGGCGAGCAAATTCCTTCGAGGGTGCGAATACTACGAGGCCATTCACACCTGCGGATCCACCCAAATACCCTCAAGAAACCCTGGCGCAGAACCTTGAACCAAACACCCCAAACCCCAAAGCCTCAAACCCCAAAACCCCTGGATGGCCGAGACCAGCTCCTACACAACCCTAAAACCCAACCAAAATCCTCAAAGACCCCGCCGTAAGCCCAGAAGCAGCCTGGTTCAAGTTGCTGGCAAAGTGCTCACAGGCCTGCATCGTTTTTTGGTGGTTCTATAGGGTTTATATAGGGATAATGGAAAAGAAAATGGAAACTACTATATTATAATAGAGTATATAATGTAGTTTAAGGGTTAAAAGTTTAGAGAATAGGGAGTGGAAGATCAACTGGAACAGAAAATGACAAGTGAAATGGAAGCTACTCCTCACGGGGTTTATTGGAAATGGAAAATGCGATTCAGGGTTTAGCATTCAAGGTTTAAGTTTTAGGATTTAGGATTTAGAAGTCAAAGCAATAGGGGCCGAAACAGTTAGGATGAGGCAGAATCAAACGGCCAACGCAACGGAAACCTGAGTTTGAATAGGGCTTCGACCGGGACTGTCTGTAAGGCTGAGAATATCTTTAAAGGTTTTGGGGTATACTATGCTAGAGCTAAACCAAGAACTATGCAGAGATAACGTTGTCTTTGTCCTGGTTTCTACTTGACTCCATCTTGCTGGTTGTGAGCAGGACAAGGAAAGTCAAGAGGATACTCACAATGAATTTATAGATAAGCTCGGAGGTGTCTTGCTGGTTGTTAGTAGCGAAAGCAAAATCCACTGGAAAGTGATATCTCAGAACCATGGGTTCTGGATTCAAGCACCATTGGCGTGCGTCGCTTAACACCTGCAAAGAAAAGCAAAATTCAAATTGGCGCGCACGATAGGACACCAGGCGCATCTAACTACAGCAACTACACCCGCACAATCAAAGTATCTGACCCCAAAGGTCTGGCTTTGGGTTGCTTCCGCTCACCTCATCCTGTGAGTGCCCTCTTCCCTCCGCAAGGAAAGCCTGTCAAATCTTCTTCTGAACTCCATCTATCCAGCGTTTCCACAAGAGCACCCCTCTTTGAAGCAGCCAGCCCCAGACCCCTCATCAAGCAGTGATCAAGCTGCAGAAACCTATATCCCAAAACCGAATTCCGAGCGACATACACCCAAAACTGCCCAAACTCTGTGCCTGCAGAGTGCCAGTGAGGCCGCCCCTCGCCAGGTTGCGGCGCGAGATAAGGCGCTCGGTAAGGATGTGGTGCATCCTCAGAAGCCGTCAAGCTGTACTGGACAACACTGTTCGGATTGTCGTGGCCCTTCTTCCGAAATCCGCCGTCGTCGTCTTCGTCGTCGCCGCCGTCGTCGTCGCTGCCGCTACCTTCGTTCCCGGGCGGAGCCATTGACGATTGCTGGGCTGCACGTTAAAGGTTGCGAATTGAAGTTTTGCGTCCGGAGCTGAGACGACAACTGTGATCGATCGTGCTAGTGAGCCAATCCTGCTGAACACTGTGATAAGTGCTACCACCATGAATGTCACCACAAGAAGAACCCCAAACCCTGCATCTTAAACCCTAAAATCTGGAGAAACTCGAATTCTAGCCCAGATATACCCAACACTCCAACAACCTGAAACCCCTCAAACCCCAAACGCAAATCTCTTAAGTTTGACGTCTAAATTCAGAACTCTAAACTCTAGACGGCGTAGCCTGACCCTGTTGAAGCGAGAAATCTAGCCATGAATATATTGTAAAAAACTATCCGTCCATCAAATACATGTTCACCTAAAGCCCAATGACCGACCCAGCCTGGAATGGATCGCTGTCGCTTCGGGCTGAATTGTGGTATTCACCTCAGGAAGGGGAATTACCAAAATGAGGATGCCTCTCAAACGCCCACAGTGATATTTAGCGGAGTTCAGACCTCAGGGCATAGGACAGCCCCTGACCCTGAATCCTCTTCTCAGCTTGAGGGATTGTTGGGCTTTGCTTCACAGTGAGAGTCATAGCCCAACTCCTTACATCACCCTAAACAGGTGATGTGAACATAACCTGCCATCCTTGACACAAGCTTGTCTAAGATTTCTTGCAGTCCCGCCGGTCTCACAGCACAAACACCAGGAACCTTGAGCCTAAGCCTTCTGGGGGTCATTAACAACCCTCCCACCCTCCAAAAAGGAAAAAAGCTTCCGCGTTGCCGAGGTGCTTTGGCAACGGCCTCAGCAAGTGCCTGCACGGCACTGTTGCCAGACTTCCTTGCCTGAACGATTGGAGCGTAGGGACCGTGGGCTGCTGAATTTTTTGGTGAGTCCAGTGGGTTCAGGCTTCAGTTGGGGATGAAAACAGCTGACTGTCCGGGTTGAATGATTTGGGGTTGTGAGGCTTGAGGTTTGGGACAGCTGAGGCGTGATGCTCTAGGTTCGAGGGCAGGAGAGTGCTTGGGGATTAGATGAAATCTTACAAAGACATCTGAGGTTGGGTCATATGGAGGCTTCTCCATGAACAGGTATGCAAGATGGATTGACGCTTTACTGGATCTTCCTGAGTGCCTTTGATAGATTGCTAGTCTTCGCAGCTTGTAGCCTTCTGTCGTGTAGGAAGATCTTTGACCACTGGTGACCCATTCGAGTCCCGGCTGATGCATCTTGAAGCACGGACATGGACGTCAGGAGGTTGAGCAAGGATGGTTGACTATAGCTGAGGCGCTTGAGAGATAGGGACTCGGGGTGTCCATCCAGATTCTAATACTTTTTGGGCATCGACAGGGCTTAGGAGTCTGGGGTTGTTCAGTGATCTTGGCCTCGGACTTTTGGGGAGTCGCGTCAAGACGCTTCTAGGTTGAGGGGCTTCAGGTCCACCGTCAGAACATGATTCGCTCGTCTGATCTTGTCCATATGTGAGCTATAGCTTAGACTCCTAGTATCCCCCGCAATGCCCCCAATAATGGTCCCGTATAGAATCCCTTATTAAAACCCTTAAACGAGCTTAGACTACAGCTCACATGGTTATGTCCAAGCAAGGGTTGCCATGTGGCCACAAAAATGCTAGCCTTAGCTTCCATTGTTGCAGTTAGTTGCAACACATACTCCCAAAGAACACGTGTTCTTGACGTAATTTGCTGCTATGCTGAAGGAGCCCGCCATGTTTGAGAGCCCTAAAACACAAGCACAAGCCCAAACCTCTCAACACAGACACTTTTGAGAGGACTGAAGTGACTAATCCCTGCAGCATTACCCATACGATCTCGAAGAAAAACATCCCTCTAACCAACCCTCCTTCACTCATTACTAAGCATTCAACCCTAGGTATAAACCCTGTAGCATTCTGGTAGCTTCCATTTCCTCATGCAGTCCTGAATTCACAAACCCCCAACCCTTAATCCTATTCCAATTTTCATCTGCTTTTTCACTCCCAATACTCCCCTCCCTCCGGGCTCTGCCTCTCTGATGGCTCTGCGGTACGTGGAGTTCTCCGGTGAGATGGTCTGCAACACAAATCAATTTAGCTTGTCAAATTCTGCTCTGCTTGCAAGGGAATAACATGTAGAGTCTGGAGGAAAATGTAGCGAAAATGTAGCTGTACATTCCCTGTTGTTCCCTTGCCTTTGGACGATCCTGTTGTCCACATTCCCAATGCTGTGCACTTGGACGGGCAAGTAAAATATTGCTAGGTCGAAGTAGAACCCAAGCACATCCTGCGGAACTGCTTTCTGGTTTACAAATCCTGTTGTGCAGTAGGCCGGAAGTGTATTGGGATTCATGGTTGAGGGTTTGAGGCTGTAGGGTTCAGGGTTCAGGGTTCAGGGTTCGGGCGTTGCAGCTCAGAGTATGGGGCTTTGCCGTGAGCATGTCAAATTTGAAGGGCACATGACATAACGTTGCAGGTTAAGTTGCTGAGGTTTGGGTACCTTTCATCGACAGTGCCCAACTCTGATACCTGAACTGCAGGCAAATGCAGGTTGGGGTTTTGGGTTGCGGTTTAAGGTTGTCGGAAGCATCTCTGAGTTCTGCCCAGAACTCTGAAACCAGCATATGTATTGTTGTTATTGTCAGGGGGAGGCCTAATGCAAGAAGAGGGTTCTTTGACATGATTACTCTAAAAGCAGGGTCCTCCAAACATGGACCCCAATCCAGTTCGCAAGGCTACATGCTGCAAGTGTCCCTGCAAGAGTCTACAAGCCTGAGGAGAAAGGCTTTCAGAGTGATTGCGGCAACCTTGTCACAAAGGGAATGGTGATCAATTTCCAGGCAAAGCACGTTGATCCTAAGCCCTAATGTCCCGGACCCCTAACCCCAAACCTAAAGCGCTTTCACTTTCTTAAGCGACAAGCCCTGAGGAACTCAAGCCTACGGTGATGCCGCATGCATTACTTCTGCAAACAAAGTCTCCAGCTAGCCACACACATTGAAGTCCCTGACTCTGAGCCCCTATCCTTCCTTCCTGAGCAGCAAGAATCCACCATGGGGCTGAAGCACTTTGGGCTCCAAGAAAACAAGGATGCTACACACTTACGGAAGGTCATAGCTGTGAATCCATGGGCCTTACTTCCTAAGCCCAAAACTCTGCACCTGGCCAAAGCCCTAGAATAGGCCGATCCCTACCCCAACAAATATGAAACTTGAAAGTGAGGTCACGGTAAGCCCAATATCCTATAGCGTAGGGGTTGAAAATCAGCACCAATATCCTTTTGAGGTCTATTCAAGGTGCGCATACTTTAGTTATACAAGGAGTCTAGGACCATGATATTTGTAATCAATCATTCAGGCCCTTACAATACCCTAAACTTTCAAACCCTCAACCCCCACCTCGTTCGCCAACTTCTTCAATGCTGCATGGGCATGTCTCAAGGCCTCACCCAAGCAGGGGGGATTGCTTTTTTGGCTTGGTGCCGCAAACCCCAGACCTATCCTAGCTGATCCCCTAAGGCGCCTAGAGACCCCCAAAACGAAGCGCCAGGAATCCATACTGTCCTAAAGAACCACCAGAAACCTCCGGCTAGTCCTACCCTCAACCCTTAAATCAATCCTAGACCTTGGACTCCACCCCAGAACCCTAGACACTGAACCTTCAACTCTAAACACGAAACCTTCACCCTGAACCCAAAATCTTCAACCCCAAATATCAGACCCTAAACCATATATGTATCTTCCATTCGAATTTGCATGCCCCTACTCTACAGAACCCTCAACTCGAAGCTGTATGAGAAAAAGCCTTCTTCGTCTCGGAAGCCGCGGCCGCGCGCTGGGAGGCCGTGGTGCGAAGCAGAGCTTCATCTAAGACCTGGAAATTCTTGGGATGAATTGGAGGGTTCTAGGCTTTAAGTAAAGTAATGGGTTGATTTTTGAGAGCATGGGGGTATTAAGGGTGGGGTTTTCTGTTTGTGCGGTTTCGCGCGAGTGTAGAGCAGCTTCTAGGGTAAGGGTTAAAGGTTCCACGGCCGCTTTTAGGGTTTGAACGATCTTTCAATCATGGGGATTGAAGCTTGAAGTTTAGGGGCTCAGCTGAAACGGATGGTGATGGTGCCATACCACTTGCTGTGGGGATCAAACCCAAACCCCCCGGGAAGATCTAGAAACTTCAAGCCCAAGCTTAATGTCTCATGCTATGAAAAAATTCTAGGTCCGCCCAGGGAGGTCAGAAAGCTGCTAGAAACAATCTGGGAATCCCTACGGAAAGATCGCCACAAAAAGTACCCCACATTTTGGGAAGCTGTCTTGAAACAGTCTGAATCAAAGACTCGGGCTTGCGATTCAGGGTCAACGTAGAGTTGGGCGGATTTACAGCTTTGCAATATCGTAAAGCTTACCAGAAAGCAGGCTAATGCTTTATGCTATGGTCGTCCGGATGATGATCACATAGTAACAATCCTCATAGCACGGCTAGTAATGACGATCCAAATAATCGCGAAGACTACTCATGACGGAAGCATTGATGACAAGAACTACAAACATGAAAGAGGTCAGCAGTCTCTTTCTGCAATGACACCTCCGCACAAGCTAATTGAAAACGAAACTAAGCCTGCTTCGTACCGGCAATATGTTGGGAATGTTCGTTATTAGCAGCACGGTGGGTTTATCAGAAGGGTAAGTACTCCGAACACAACCCCTACAGTCCGCGTTTCCGATTTTCTTACATGTCAGTTCCATTTCGATACTATTCTCTCGTCCCAAGGAAAGAGACTACTGCCGATCCCCTAGTAGTCCATGCATAAACCCGACAGAATGGTCTGCATGTCCTTTCATTCCTCAAGCCCCCACCCCTAACCCCATATTCACCGCTTACATATTCTCTTTCATTCCTTCGTTTCCTACTTAACCGCCGCGAGTAGTAGCTTTGTCAGAGTCACGCCCCTCCACCCCCCAGCCTTCTGAACCTCGCCATCTGCTTCTCTTGGGCTGACATTCAGCACCTTACTTGGTTTGAAGATTTGGGGTTAGGCTTGGCATCTTCAATTTTGAGAGAGGGCCTCACTGGGATGCCATTAAGGAACTTGAGTTAAGATTCCATGGCAAAGGCACCGTCTTGTTTAGGGGATATCCATATTATCTAACTTGATCCAGGCATCTTAACTAACCCAGGTCAATGCATCTCTGAACCCACATCATCGTCATAAAGAGCGATGTTTATGATTAAACTCTTACTGCTATCAGATTCCTTTCAATATATTCCTACTCTATTACAATTATAAAGCCTACTCTTTGTACATGTAAATCATCCAAAAAAACGCTGCAGCTCAGCGGCACAGACGCCATCCACAAGCGTGGTGACTTTGCGCATGGCCTGCGAGAGCACTCTACACAGTCTTGATGTGTCTTCGTACAAAGACGTTGGTAGACGCTTTCCTCTGATTCTTGCCAGAATGACTCCTCGTAGTCGCTGATTCTCATCAGCAGGATCCATTTAAAACATCGATTGCTGTTTTGATGTTGATTGTGCACAGAAAGGCCCCCTGATTCTAAAGACAAGTTCAGTGCTCGTGGTAACGGATGACGTTGGGAGGGTTAGGCTTCAAGGTTGGGGGAAAATTTGGCAACAACCATAATGTTAATAGCATATGACAGGAGTACATACACCAACAGTGGCAGTTATGAGGAACGCGATCAGAAAGGAAGCATGAAGCATGACACGGACAGCAGAGGTCAACACAATACTCGCAGGTTGCCAAGTCACATTACGCCTCTCCGTATGTTCCCGGCATACACCTACGTAACGCTTCTTCAATCTCTGCCCACCACCAGATGCCACAAAGAGACCCCATAGCCCAGAACTGTTGCATACCCTGTGAGGCGCAATCTTTCTGTGGTCGCAGCTGCTCTGGCACAGCACTTGGGTCTCCGCCAGAGGCACACGAGCCCCAGACCACCACAGTTCCATCTGCTTTCACCTGAAGGTTGTGGGTTAAGGGTTGCTAGGATTTAGGGTTTATGCAGGGTTCCGGGTTTCAGGGAGATGTAGAACCATAGAAGGGTTTTGGTCGTAGGGCTCCTGCATTCGAGGAAACACTCAAAATGCGTGGCTGAGGCTGACAGAACATGTCAAAACGGGTCAATTCATGCTGGGCCCCCACATCGCGAAATTGTTGACAAGCAGAGAAGTCCAAAAAGCAAACCCATGGCTCAATGACGATGATGTTAAAACAAGAAATCAAGTATTGCCAATACCACTGGTCCAAAATCACAAAATGAGAGCGAACTCCTTGAGGATGACATTGAAAGGGCTTTCTCCAAGCTTCACTTTCGATTCTAGACGAGCGTTGCAAGAAGTCTGCAAAACCAATGCCTGAACCAAAAGCCTTCAACTCTACGTTCTACACCCTCTGCCCAAAGCCCGAAACACTGAGCCCTGCCAGAGACCTCAGTAGCCAAGCCGCAGCCGCAAAGGCACCAAAGGACGCACAGATGTCTTGGACTTCGGTGAGCTCGGGGTCGGCTGCCCGAGAATCGCCCCCCTGCCTCAAAGATTTTCGGCTTCAGCCATCAGAGCTGGGGGTCATAAAGGTGTAGCACCCAGAAACAATCGCGTAACAGCACTGGCTACGTATAGACGGTATGCCCCTGGATATCCGCTACTGGCTGGCAAGGTTGAGAGTCACATGGGTAGTTCCCAGATTAAGGTCGCATTGCGGCACCCCTCACTATTAGGTACCGTCATATAGTCTATAAATCTATAACCAAAAGGGGCTCATAATTTTGAGAACAACCCAAATGTTGGGGTACAGGGTTTAATCCCTATCGGCCTGAGGAACCCCTGAGTGCTTGCCCATAACATCCGTGATTGGGTACCCATATGGGTTGTTCTCTGAATTCTGGGCCCCTCTTGGATATGTGTATATATGTATGAATATATGTATATATATTATTGCGGCACCTAATATTTAGGGGTACTGAAATGGGAGCCCAATTTTGGGAACGACCCAGAAACAACCCTAAACCCTAAACCCTCGACTATAACCCTAAACCCTCAGCGCCAACCTCTTCAACTTTCTACCCAACATGCGTGTTTCCATCAATTGGGGTCTATATTGGGGTCCCCTAGTTATGGAAACTACCATAGTGTGAGCTCAGTTGCAGAGGGTTGCCCCAACTGACGATCGAACCATCAGCTCGTCTTGCGGCGAAGGCACCTTCAACAGCTCAAGCTTTTTAGTTCTCCGGGTGGTTAAGGGGGAGTGGGGGAGTGAAAATAGGTGCCATTATAGGGGTATATGTGGAGATCATATAGGGATTATGATAGGGATCCACTCCCCCAGGGTGCAAGTTTTGGGTTGTTAGAATTCGGTCTTTCAAATCGGGGCTGAGCGGTGTTGGGGCTTAATTAAGTGGTTACACTTGCTTCCAACCTGCCTTCGGCAAAGGCCTCCCCATTGGCTTGAATCCAGGGAAGAATAAACTACGACCCCTGTCTCTCAATCTCGTGATCCTCAGGCACCAAACACTAAGCCATGAATCTCCACAATTCAGGTTCCGAGGCTTACGTGCAGGATTAATTCTGATCTTTCCATATTTTAGACCTGAAGCCTGACGTCCACTGTCCTTGCACTCGAATGACCAATGCAAACCTTTCAAGGCGATATCCACTAGAGCAAGAATGACACCCTTCCTTCTAAACCCACCCAGAAACTACACGCCACAACTCTGAACTCGCATCCCTCATCCCCAAATGCCCAACCCTAGCCTTCCGTTGCCCAGAGCCCCTCCACTTCCGTCAGCTGTCCGCTCACGGTGCTGGCGTCCCCGCCGAGCAGGGGCTTAGTTGTGGTTTTGGTCAGAAGTCTCTTTTCTGAAGTTCACTCAGAATGTGGAAGTTTAGGGAATACGGGTTTGGAGCTTAATTTTGGCTTGGGCCCGGGAGCACCTGGAAGATGGACCCCTCCAGATTATACATAGAGACATGGAAACAGCCACAACCATAGGAGTTCCTCTCTGTCATATGACTGCTACCAACTTTCACGAGGAGATCAACTAACCGTTCAGAGCCATTCCACGACGAGTCCAGATCCCTACGTCAAAGTAACAAGAACCTGGAAAAGAACTTTTTGTGGACACCTGTCCTTTTCATAGGGATTTCTGTTGAATTCCATGTTGGTTAAGGGTTTGGTAAGCGCCAAAACCTTCCCAGATGCCTCTGAGATGACTACCAAATCCCAAGAACCGCACAACAACTAAAGGATTCTCAGGCCTGCTAGGGCTAAGTACGTCCAAGCGAACCGACATGAAACACGAAATTGTTCCCTTAAACCCTCAAGCCTACACATCAGAGTAACTCTAAACCCTACGTGGTCAACCCAAATCCATTAATGCGAACTCTAGGCCCTTGACCCGAAAATCCTCAACCCTACCCTTAGCCCTAAATCCTGAGGCAGAGGCCCTAAAGCCCCTAATCAAGGACTCCAAAGATCAGTTCCAGCCACATTGCCCCAGACGACCACACGGCCGTCACCGCGCAAAGCAGCGAATGCTCCGTGCGTCCCACGGATCCTGGGTGGTCTTAAGGTTAGGGTCTAGGGGTTCCAGGTTAAAGGTCTAGGGCGTGAGATTTGGGGTTTAGGACTTCAGGAATAAAAGCAGGTTTAAGGTTTCGGGGGTGGGATCGAAATCTTCAAGTTGGAGTTGCAAGGATTTTGTGGGAGCACCTGGGGGGTTGTATGTGTTTCTTCTTTGGGGCAACATCAGGTCGGGCATTGAATTGCAAGGAATATCTGAACAAACGTATGGAGACTACCAAGGCGAAAGAAAAGTCCAGCATGCTGCCATGGAAAAGGGGTAGTTAAGGTGACCAACAAACCTGAAACGAGCGATGAGAAAGCCTAACTATCCCTGTAACAACCTCATGTCATATTGACGCTGATATCCCTAGACTATCCCTAGAAAGCCTGTTCAGGGAACCCAGAATTATGAGAGCCCCCACGTTGTTTCCATGGATCAAGCGCACATCCCAGAGCTCCGATCGGACGGCACTACTGTCACCGCCATCGATGGCACCGCCTGGGATTGGGGCCAGGAGCTAGGATTTGGGATGTCGGGTTTCGAACGTAAGGTTGAACGTGTGGCTTAGGCTTTTGGTTTGGGGAATTTGTGTGCCAGACAGAGCTTGGGAATTTTCAGGACGGTTTGCGGGTTGCTTGAGAGAAGCCCTTCGTTGGCACTACTGGAAAACGACTTCAACCGATATGCTGCCATCGGCAAAAAGATGCCTGAAATCCTGCTTCAAAAAAACGACTGGGGGGTGGCTTTGATACATGCTCCCGACATCCATTATCTTCAACCTTCTCAAGCCAAACCTTGCATCCCCCTAAACAATCATGCCCCAAACATTCCTGCCAGCAACCCCCTCTTCGGGCATGGAACACAAGAAAAGGTGGAGCCCCGACAGTGCTTCCCTAAGAAGCAGCGCGTCTACCAGCTATGATGGACTCTTGCATGCCCCACATCTCAGCGCAGCCCATGAGGGTCCGTCAGGGCACATCCATCTTGACAAAGCCCAATCCTAAGCCCTGAGCACCCTGTAATTCTCCCCCCTACCAACAAACAGGCGGATCAAGCAAGCTGCCCCATGTCACCACGCTGCCATCCATTCTGACAGCTGCCTGGATTTCCAAATTACCAAAGGATTTGGGGTTTAAGGTGGGGGGGTTAGGGATTGAGATTTAAGGATGAAGGTCGAGGGAGGAAAGTGAAGGTGCATTGAAGCTGAGAATGGGCCTTCGAGATGAGGATTTCAGGATACGAATGTCTGAAGACTTGGGTTTAAGCAGTCAATTCTAGGGATGGGAGGTTTAGGGATTCCAGCTTCCAGTAGGCGGATGAAGGGAACGACTCCTCAGGGCTACAGGGATGACACCTACGCGGCAGTTTCCCCAAAGTAGGGGGACGGCAATGTAGACTGCAAAATATTATAGTCCTTATAATAATAGGAATAGGAATCCCCAAAATGGTACCTCTAATTGTGGGAAACACTCCTGCTTAGAATCTCTTACTGGGCAAGTCCTGGGAACCAACACAAACCCCATGATTTGGAGCGCTGGGTGCAAGCCCAAAACTCCAAAATCTCAACCCCAGGACTTGAAAACCTAAACTCCAAAACCAAAAGCCCTGCCACCTGACCTTAAAACCTATAGTCCCCCTTAAATAGATAGAGTATGGGGTATATGGAAATCTTATTAAAATATCCCCACAGCCATATTCTTTCTACCTAAGGGGGACTATACGTACTTGTATAGTTGGGAGCCCAGGTGCGAATGCAAATATGTTGGCCTCCATTTCCTGGACATCTCGCAGCTGGTCGCGGACGGCTGTGCTGTCGCCGCCCATGTGAGGGTCCTGAAGCCCAAAGTGATGGGATGGGGGAGTTGAGGGCTCAAATGCCTGGAGTATAAGCCTCAGAACCTTAATCAAAAGCCGAAGCGCTCAACCCGCCAAAAGGCCTTATAATCCCTCCCTTAAGCCTGTAACCCTATTAAACCTCAAAAAAAAGCTGAAAACACAAACTCCAAGCCTCAAACCACAAAAAACAAGCGTGCAATCTTAAAAAAGAACACAACCCTATTAACAACAGTAGTTATCAGTATAATAACAATAACCCCAAAACCTACGCCCTAAACCTTGAAACCTTTAAACCCCAAACCCTGATCCACTGATCCCCAAACCTAACCCGTGTATATCCCTTACATAACTCCATCTACTCCTCTAAATCCCCTCTACACCCCCCAAGTTTTCCCATATTCAACTGCGGCTCCCCCCAGGTCACCACCGCTCCATCATCCCGAAGGGCGGCAAAAGCACGGGCAAAGGCCCAGATGCGCGTCACCCCCTGGAGCTGATCGCCTAAATCTTTAGGGTTTAGGGTTCTAGGGTTCTAGGGGTCTAAGGATCTAGGGATCTAGGGGTCTAGAGGTCTAGGGGTCTAGCGGTCTAAGGATCAAAAATCTAGGGATCTAGGGGTCTAGGGATCTAGGGATCCAGGCTTGAGGGCTTAGGGTTTAGGGTTTAGGGCTTGACACCGTGGAGCTAAGTCGTTAATTGGGTTGGCACGATTACTGCAGGTGGATGAAGGCGCTATTAACTCCACATTTAAGGGCTGTTACTGTAGAGAGGGATTGAACTAAGCCTTCAAGTCCTACAGTGAATGGTTTGGGCTTGGGGTATAGGGTTGAGGGGGCCAGGATTGGGGGTTGTAGAGCTTTGGGATCGTTAATTGGGCCTGTCGAGGTAAGCCTTTTCCGCAAGATTTGAAGGAACAAGAACCAAGGTCCCCGAACAGAAACGAAGCTTGTACCAATCATGGCGAAAAATACTCGTAGTGGCAATACCCAATAACACTACAACACTCATAGCTTTTGCTGGTATAAGCGGTACAGGCCGTAACCTGCCAGACATCCAAAGGTTCACCAAAAACAGCCTCCACCCTGCATCTACAACATGAAGCCTTAGGCCCCAAACCCCCCTAAACCCTCACAACCCTAAACCCTAAGCCGCCTTCTATCCCAACCACTTTCGGCCGAGTTACAGACAGCGCTGCTGTTGCCGCCTCCAGCTCCTTCCCCCCAAGTAACCTTAGAGATAAGGGCTGAGATTTTGGGGGAGGGTTTAGGGTTTATGTTGGGATTATATTGGGACAATGAAAAAGAAAATGGAAACTACTCTCGTATAATAGGGTTTATACGGGGGTTATATGCGAATGGTGGAAAAGAAAATGGAAACTTGAGGGTTTAGGGTTTAGGGTGGCAGGTTACTTCATGTTTAGGGTTTCACCGCCTGGCGTCCGGGGTTTCGGTTTCAAAGCTTTGGGTCCGAGGTTGAAGATTTCGAGCCCCGAATCCCAAGAGGGAGGGGGTGGTGTGTTCTGGCCACTCATATGGTGGGCTTGTGAACATTTGCCCTCTTTCCCCCCCATGCATACTATAATCCTCATTACACAAACCCTGACAAAGGGACCCATAGTGTTGGGAATCAATCCTTACAAGCCACTACATAGGCCTTCGTTTTGCATTTTCTTTTCCATTGGGGACATATCCCTACACCCCAAACCCTCAACCCTACGTAGTAGCTTAGTAGCTTCCATGTTCTTTTCCATTCCCCCTACATACCCCCATATATCCCTACACCCTACATGAGCCATAGTCTAAGCTCCCAGTATCGCCCTTAATAACCGTTACAATGTCACTTTGTATTCCATTCTGTAACCCCCTTTTAAGGAAGGAATTTAGAATATGGCTCATTGGTCACTATCTATTTGATGGCTTTGAGGTGATTCCCAAGCTCCAAGTGACCACCACGCCACTGTCCAGGAGGGCCGCAAATGCCCCAAAGGACGCCCAAACCTCAAAAAATGGAGGTTGCCAACTTTTTTGGGGACGTACGGATGATAGTATTTTGGGGTCTGTATTGAGGTACCCCTATTGAGGCAAACTACTCTATAACTGTTTGCTGTATAGGGTTGCTAGGGTTTTGAAGCTTAGGGTCTAGATTAATGTGTAGGGATATGGGTTTGCCGCTTAGCGTGGTTTAAGCTTTGTGGGCTCAGGGTTCAGGGTTGGAGGTCTCGGCATCGGCTCCAAGTACATGATAGGAATACAAATCCCGCACCAATGATCCTTGAAGTACCACCTGTCCTCACATGCATATCCTAGACTCAGGATCCTTGTCCAAGATGTCCCCCTTAAATGCTTGACCCCCAAACCCTAAGCTTTAGGCTCTGAACTGCCAAACCCTGAGCCCTGAGTCTGCTTCTTCTTCTTCCATTCTACCTTAAATGCTAAACGCTAAACTCTAACCTAAGTCTTGCCCATTCCCTGCCTTGCGAACTCTCTTCAGTTCTTCCTGCACAGCGCTGCTGTCACCGCCACAGCTTGGATCGCCCCAGGTCACAACGCTGCCATCCTCCATGGCCCAGCTGAGTATTCACTACACATTTCAAAGTGGCGTATTCAAGCTCTTCAGGGTACGGTGTAAAGATTTCGGCTTAAGAATTAGCTTGGAGAGTTTAGGCTAGAACTGTCTCAGATTGAGGGGTTGGGGCTGCAGCCCTCATACAGACCCATCTGGGACGGATTATTGGGGATCTGGGTGCTCCTTCAAGACGCAGAGCGAAGACTGAATTTGAAGGATGCTCCCCTTATCACCAGCAAGATGTGTGATATATCAAACACCACTATCCTGTTCTAGTTCAAGGCCCCTACACCTTGACAACAGCTTGCACTTTGTCTTGTTGTCGAAAGCAACCCGTCCCGGAGAATCGCAGCAAAAGCCCCCTGCGAGGCGCAAATCTTCTCCACACCCACCAACTCCTGCTCTGGAACTGGGGTTTGAGGTTCAGAACTTTTGGCCCGGCCTAGAGCTTCATGGGTAGAACATAGGTCGATGAAACAAGTCATAGCTTCAATTACTATACTGAGCACCTAGTAACACAAACCGCGCTTTCAGGACGAAGCCACACGCAGGCTCCAAACAGCCCGCCCCTCCCGAACCCGAAACCCCTAAGATCCTAACCCCCAGGTCCTCTTGCACCAGGCTGCTGTCTCCACCGTAGCTCGCATCACCCCAAGCTATCGCACTCCCATCATTGCAGATGGCGGCGAAGGCAAAGGCTGAGGCAACGATGTCCCGGACCTGAGCCCTTCCTGGAAACCCTGGCGGGGTATATAAGGATAATGGAAAAGAAAATGGAAACTACAATGGGATCATATAGGGGCTATATAGGGGTGTTCTAGGGATACTGGAGAAGAAAATGGAAACCAAAAGGATTCTAGGGCTTTAGGGGTTATATAGACAATCCTAATTTGCCACGGCTTTGTGAAATTGAAGTACATTCCAGTGTTAGTTGTTTCTTGGGATCATAGCACACAGGAAGCTGCCTGATGGTACACATTCAAAAATATGTTGAAGAAGCGCCTGAGGACCCCCTGGAGCTGCGCCCGCACCAGCCAGCTGTCTCCGCCGCCCGTCCGGTCGCCCCAGGTTACCTGCAGCTCGCTTCCAATATCTTTCAGTAGATCTGCATTTTCCTAAACATCTCAGAACTTAGGTAGGCTCCTAGTGCAACCTCCATATCACCGTCTTGACATCGGAAGTGAGTCAGGTCGTGAGGACTAGGCATGATGTAAACACAAAGCATTTCTGCAGGGTTGCTGCTACAGAACTTGAATAGAGCTACCAGAAGATGGATACATGGCCAATCGTATGGTTTTTTTCTTCTTGTGGTTCCTTAGCAGCAACCCAGCTAAGACAACTCCGCTTACCACGCTTCCGTCCGAGCAGATGGCTGCAAAGGCTGACTGCGAGGCACGGATTCGAAGTACGTGGCAAAGCTTCTCTTGGTCAGCTTCACCTGTTTTTGTTTGTAGGGGATCGCAAAATGTAATGCCTAATGATTCTTATCACCCATTCCTTCATTCCCTCCTAACAAGAAGCAAGGGACTGCAGGTGCCGCCGGTCTTGGGATCGCCCCAAGTTACGACATTCCCATGGGGCCCGATGACCGCAAAGGCGTCGCCTTCTGTAAAGCTCAGGTAGGGCCAGCGAACGCCACTGGCCGTCAATGATGCCTGCCGTTTGAATTCCCTAGCTCACCAAAAACAGCATCAAGGCATGCAACAGCCTTGCATCAAACAAAAGAGAGCAAAGCGTACCTAACAAAAGCAGCTAGGATGCAAAGTGGGACACGACCGTTGTCTGTCGTAAGGTGCAGGCTATCTGATCGCCATCCTTCAGACCCAGGTCTCCCAGGGAGCTCGCGCCAGGAAGGACTGCCCCATTCTGGGAGCCTCGAGACTAAGAGGATTCATGGTTCAGGGTTTGAGGTAGAGGGTTGACATCGAGGGCTTGGGCTTCTGAAAATTAAGGGCTGGGAAATACAATGCCTCAGCTCATGGCCTACCAAACTAAATCTGATAGCTAATCAAATCATACATCTCAGAAGGCAAACATAAAGCACCAAAGCTAAATTCAGTGCCGTCCCCAAGCTAGCTTGAAATCCGGAAGCACGAATCAACAATTCCTGAAACTGGAAACCCTAAATCCTAAGCCCTGCAGCCTCAACCCTCAACCCTACACAGCAAAATGCAGAGGCACATAAAAATCAATCAGGCTCTGGGCATAGTATACAATGTTTTCCACTCTCCCTTTTTCACCCCATTGTATACCCTATTATAACATAGTAGCCGTCATTTTACTTTCCATTATCCCTATTTAACCACTATAATAAAGCCCCCCAAGACTTACCAAACAGACCCGGAGCAGAGATGGTGGATACCGAGTCCGAAGTGCACCTCCGCTTGCCTTTGCAGCTCATGGATGGTACCTGAGAAAATAGCGCAGTTATATAGTGGAGATATAGGGAAAATGGAAAATAAAATGTAAACTACTATTCAGCGTTTGGGGACCTGGGTGAGGGTGTTACAGTTTGCGGCGTAGGCTTTGGAAGATCTAGGAGTGAGAAAGGCTCGGGGTGCATGACTTTCATCTCAAGGATTTGGGATTTATAGAGGCATAGTCTTTTGGGATTAGGGTTCAGGGCTTGAGTCTGGGGTCTGGGCTAGGGTATGCAGTAAAGCGTGACGTAACGACAGCAGATCAAGGGGTGCAGGCAGTTCAGGGGCCAGACCCTCGGAGCGATGGGGTCTAGCGTTATATTGGAATTCTAGTGGGATAATGGAACAGAAAATGGAAACTACTATAGTATATTGAGGTTATGATACCAGGTAAAATCTTAGGCGTCCGGATGAAGGACAAGGGGGGTATGCTCTTGCACAATACCTTAGTTGGACCCGCCACCCGGTAATAGTGACTATAGGGAGTAATAGGGATTGTATTCAGGCCCTACTATATTCCTCTATTACGGCGTGGGCACCCTTTTTGGGGAAGTCCTGAGAATAAGGCGTAGAGTAATCTTGGGGTCTATAGTGGACCTCCCCACTTATGAAAACCAACAGCTTAGGTCGTAGGTATGCATTGAAGAGAGAACTCCCACATGTCACACCCAAGAACTTACCGATTCTTAATGAATCCCCAATCGCAGTCCGTATATGATCCCAAAAAATGGTAGCTTCGTGTCTTTTTCCGTTCCTTCTTCCCTAGTAACAAGCAGCAAGATATCAGATGCTAATCCCAGCGCGGCACTCTCGGGAGGCAGCTGCAAAGCGACGCTGCGCCCGCTAAGCAAAGTAACATCCAGCGTAATCGCCATGCACAGGAAGGGTTTGAGTTTGAGGTATGGAGCCCTAAGAGACTAGGGTTCAAGGTTTAGAGCTTGAGGTTCCGGGAAGGGTTCGGGAATGAACCATAAGACCTCTTGGCATTAAGATGTTCAGGGACTGAGGTTTACAGTCGCGGGAGTTGCGTTTCAGAATTTATGGTTTGGGGTGCAGGGTCCACGGTGTAAGGAGTGGAGTTTCGGGTTCAGGATCTAAGTCTAGCACTGCAGGATGTTCATTTTCAGCTCAGCTGAGAGAAAGGCCAAGCATGGAGAGCATCATGAGCAAACCTCAACTCCTAAACCGCTGAACGTCACAAATCCTGAATCGCCCCAAAGCCCTTGACTATCAGACGCCACCGCTTGAGTATAGCGTGATGCTGTCCAGTACAGTAGCTGGGCTCATACCTCTCAGCCTCTAGACGCCCAAAACCTCCAAACGTTCCGCACCTGAACCTGCTCTGCATCTTGGTCTACTGCTGATATTGCTACTGCTTCTGGTCACTACTAGGTATAGTTGTAGTGGATATTGATGTAACAACGCGCACTGCCACCCCTAGAAGCCCAAAGCCCAACCCCGCAGCAGCCACGCCTTGCGCAAGTCCACGCCCGTGCTTAGTATGAAGGTCTGAAGCCCCGGAACAGAGCAGTTGTTGGCCACGAGTCTCCTAAGGAGGAGCTGCGAAAGGACTTGGGGCCCTGGGTTGAGGATCAACATGTAACTTTTGTTCTAATCCCAGGCAGGAATCTGTTTCCTGCGTGGTTCTTTGAACTTTATGATTCGGGTCTGCAGAGGGACCCGATAGCAAACCGACAAGCCTTTCCTAGCTGATGATTAACAACAAAACAGAGGAGCCTCGGTGGCAAACGTTTATTCCCCTATTCTCGCGTGACTACCAAACTGTTCTTGGTAGATGCTTTGTCTTCTTCATGCGTGAGAATCTCAGTCAGCCAGGAAGTGAAATCCCAAATGTTCAACACCCACTCCCTGATGTTAGGTCTGCCTTGCACATGCTTAGAGCTCCTTTTCGCCAATACTTGAAGACACCCTAGGCTTGCACAGAAAACATGCTCATGTGGAAACCGACTGCTTGCCAAAATGGTGAAACAATCAGAGCTGCCTGCAACTCCAAACCTTACCCCTGCCTGGATCTACTCCATGGCTTAGGGGATACATTGGGATTATTTGGGGGTATCTAGAGGCTTAGAATTGCCTACAGCCTTTCGTCCTCACCTAATCAAACTTAGTTCCAGATTTCCAAGCTCCTAATCAGTGGCCCGTTATCTTGGTCCACCTCATGGACCCTCAAGATTCAAATCCTGAACTCCAAAAACCTGAGCTTCTTTAACTCTGAAACCGCAAACCACTAAACCCTCCAAGCTCTCAACCCTAAACCTTCATCGCACAAATCATCACCCTGACTGCAACAGCATGGGGAACAACAAACAGGCGCGGGCCAAGGTTCACCAGAGTTCCTTTCAGGAGCCCCTTGCTACTCCTCTGCGAGACATGGGGTTCAACAGCTAAGCTTTAGGATCAAGAGTCTAGAGTGTAAGGTGTGGCATGTAGGTTTACGGAACAGTTCATTGCGGGGCTGACTTCAAATCTGTCTGGAAGGGCTCTTCGGGTGTACAAAAGTATTCCATCACTTGGGGATTGTTTGGAATGGCATGATATTGTTCGGAGCTTGCGTTTGAGGATGCGTCTGCGTAAAAGGTTGAGGGTGCAAGGAGGAATTGTTGTGGTCAAAGGCTCGTGGTATATGTACATGATTACCTTCTACATGTGGGTAATATTGCAATAAGGTGCCAGGGGTGTTGGTCCTTGACCTGCAATGATAGTAGCGATGGATCCGAAGACAAAAGAAGGTCTTCTGCTGGTGAGAAAACATGTCGGAGCAACATGTAACAAAACGAGACAATCAGAACAACACATGAGATGCCGGAAAGGATTGGTGCCACAGGCCAAAACAAGCACGCCTCTTCACGGAACTTAAGACTCCAAAATCCCTTCCATATTCCTTCCTATCCTGCTTCTACTCCTAAGCTTTTCATTCTGAATTAAGCCCCTGAAGCTGTCAACCCCGCTAAATGCCCGCCCAAACCAGCCGGGTCCTCAACGCATCCATACCCATCACACGCAGCTTCAAGGCCGTCGCTGCGTCTGCAGTGGAAGCCTCCATGTCCAAGTCCTTGAGACATGGCAGGATATGGATAGTTCCCAAAATTAGGGTCCCATTTTGGTACCCCTAAATATTAGGTGCCGTAAAATAACCTAGAACCAAAAGGGGCCCAGAATTTTGGGAACTACCCATATGGGGCTTTGGGGTGTAGAGTTTTGGTTTAGGGCCCAGGTCCTTTGGAAAGAAGTACCAGGACCGATAAAATAGTAATCATGGAGAATCAGAGGGAGAAAGACGAACATGGAAAATGAAATGGAAGCTACTACTTAAGGTGTAGCTTGTCTCTGAGAATCATAGAGAACCAAATGGAAAAGAAAATGGAAATGAAATGGAAACTGGGTTCATACAATGGTAAGAGCCTTGGTTTTTAGGGATAAAGGTTGGGGGCTTGGGGTCTGGAGTTGAAATTTGAAATGGCCTCAATCCCAATGTTAATCTGAACACCAGCAAGATTTGTGCCTGCAACCTGCGGAAGGCAGATTTAGGCCCACACCCTGTAGCAATGGTATAATAGGAATATAAGACCACATCATCACTTTTAGTTATTACAGTCACTAATAGTGGGTGGGGGTCCGCCTAAGGGCTCGCAGTTGGGATTCTGGGGTTTGGGCCTTTGATGGGGGGAACAAAACACGTCGCTGATTGATATGAGTATACTGCAAGGACCCTATACAAGCCAGTCTCGTTTTCGAACGAACAAATCAGAAATTGGAACGAAAGACTTGGCTTTGCAAGATCCAGGAAAGAAAAGCTGGCCAAAAGATTCGGAAAACCAGGTCAACGCCCATCAAGAGAAGAGGCTAGGTCCGGGGATACAAGGGCCCGAGGATTAATGAACCGACTTCCAACAAGCACAACTGAAAATGTCAGGGAATGGGGTTGCTTTTCAATGTACACCTCCAACGCAGTCATCACCATGTACCTTGAACTTGAACCCCGAAAAAGCGAATGCCAACCCTTTTCCTTCAAACGTGCACCCCTGCTGAAACTGCATTGATGCCCTCCTGAAGCAGAATCGCACCAAGCAGGAATAGGCAAAGTAATATTTAAAAATCTCTGCATCATCTTCATTCTCTCCGTATATGACCTGCCCAATGGTCCCCATACTTTCCTGCTCTATGATCACGGAAGCCCAAACTCCAAATCCGAATCCACCCTTTCTACTATCAGCTCATAGAAGGGGTTTCCAAACTTTCAGACCAGCAGCATCTGCTACCGCCTGGAACGTGGCTTTCAACCTTACTTGGAGGCCAGGGGGCTTGGGCCGAGGGCCCAAGCCTAAACCTCAAATTTGGGACGTGGGATGCATTAACTGCACTGTCCTCTGTCGCTCCTGACATGTATCTCACTCCCCACTTCTTCAGATGCCACCCCTCACAACAAAATGAAACGCCTAGCCATTCAAAACACCTTCGAACACTCTGCAGGTGTCTTTCAGGCCCCTGATACAAGAACAGCATGAAATAAACACCGCCAAGTTCATGATAATATGAGAAAGTTCCCCAGAAATCATTGAAAACCTGAGATGGGTCTCAAAACCCTAGGGTGACATGTTTCCGACCTAGAGGCTTACAACAAACTCTACAATCCTTGGACGATGCAAGCAGAATCCTCCTATGATTCCCTGCATGTTCCGTCTGACCCCCTACCGCACTCCTTTGGTCGTATAATTTACAGGGTGAAAAAGCTGCCGTTGAAGTTCGGGGAGGAGCCCACCAAGTCTGATGAGCCCAGGATCAACTTGGGGGCTGCCCCCTGGCCTGTTGTCACCAATTTAAAAACTGATGCGGTTGATTGGCCTTGAACCTTGAAAACCTTCAAAGCCAGTTGTATACCTTGTGCTGTACATACTCAAGGGCCTGCACCATGAAATAATAACTGACTCAAGGGGCACTGCTCTTGCTTTGACCTACATACAAGGCCTAGGCCCTGTGCCCCCCCCCCAACCTGAAATCCCTCCAATCAACCCTGAACCCTAAACCCTGAACCGTAAACCCTGAACCCTTACCCCAAATCCCTCCACCTTGTCGGAGGTCTCAGGGCTTCCGCATGCTTCGCAGTGCTGACGGCAGGTTTCGCACGCCAGGGGTGAGACGGAGCCACTAGCCTCACTACCTCCATCACACGAAAACTGCCCCGTAGCTCTAAACCCCAACAATGCCTACTTACTTGTGGTTAGCGGTTCAAAAGGTGAATATACTGAGGGTTATATGGAGATTTTATTCACGTGCTCCTTACTAGCCATATCCAACCCTAAACCCTAAACCTCAAGTGAGTCATAGTCTAAACTCCTAGTATCCCCCTTGATAACCCCTATAGTCGTACCCTGTATAATCCCTTATAGAAACCCCTTTTTGGAGTTTAGACCCTAAACCCTAAACCTCATACCCCAAACCCTAAACCCTAAACCCTAAACCCTAAATGACTATGATCCCCCTATGTATCCCGCCCCTTTAAGGACTTAGAGTATGGCTCACCTGACCTGAAGCGGGTCAGGTGAAGAGGCTAGACCTTGGCCTCCCTCCGTCTCCTCAGCCGGCCGGGCAGGGCTTGAAGGTTCTTAAAAGGGGTTTAAGGTTTTGAGGTTAAGGTTCTTTAAAGGGGTTTAGGGTTTTAAGGTTTAAGGTTTTTGGGGTTTAGGGTTTCAAGTTTTAGGGTTTCGGGTTTAAGCTTAACGGCTTGTTTAGGCTTAGGGTTTAGGGTTTTGGCTTAGGGTTTGGGGTTTGGGTTGTAGGGATGATTAATCACTTGCTTTCAGTGCCTAGGGTTTAGAAGAGGAAGATGGAAACTCCTCTACCACAGGATATTCTATAGAGGCCTTTTCAGGATCCATTCATCCTTTGCTCTATGCCCCATTCACAACCAACAACTTGAACCCAAACCGCCCAAACCCGAAACCCCATTTTTTGCTGTACCCACCAGCTTTCATTCCATGTTCGCATTTGACTTGCCATCAGGTTTTCCATTTTCCATCTTCCATTTGTTTTTCCATTCCCTACTGAGAAACCGGTAGCAGAATCATGAGTACAGAGTCTCTGGGGTGAGGAGTTTGAGGTAGGATTGATAAAAGCAATCTGGTATTAGCTCAGTTCATTTGTTGCGTGAATCATGTTGCTTGGGTCTATCCCTCGGATTGTGTGGGGGGTCATTTTCAAAAACTCCTAAAGCTACTCGAGTGCCTGAGGTCTCAGTAAGGCACCAGGAAACCTTTTCAGAACTACACAACGGCCTGAAGTTCATAAACCTGATCCCTAACTGGGCATTCTCGAAACAGCAGTACCTTAAGGTGCATGGGGTTAAGGTCTATGAGACAGCCAGCGTCCGGAGTTCATCACGATTCTGTTCCGAAACTCCAAGCTCTCCTGTAAGGGCCGCCAAAAACGGACACCTTTTTAAATACCATCCTTCGGGAAATTCCAAAATCTGTCCATAAGTTCAGCAGGGCCTCGCAGACTGAGCCTCTTTTGTAGCCTCTTCCACCATGTCCCGGAGGATCCTGAGCAGAAAGTTTGCTTCTAGGTGTTTGGGAGATGTTGCGGGGTTTCAGGTCTAGGGCTGTAAAGCTTCAGGGTCCAAAATTTTGGGTTGTGGGTTTAAGGTTGGAGAGGGTATGTGGAAGGGGATAGCTTCTGCTAACCTAATAGGATGCCCCTGTCGCTTCACCCTTTGTATGTGGAGAATTATCTTCAAAAACCTGTTTTTAGGCATCATGCTGCAGGTTTGGCGTTTCAGGTTACAGGTTGGCAGGTTGCCTAGGGTCTGAAATATGACAGGCCCATGAGAGCAACAGCTGGATGATGATAAGACTGACGAGTGGCCCCAATATAAAAAGTAAATAATGCTCATAGTTATAGTCACAGAGGGTAAGGGGACCAGACATACATCTGGTCCAAGGCGCTAATGCAAAAGTTCTTTCCACACATCCCAATGTCAAAGAACTAAATAACTGCAGATGCCAAATAGTCATCTAGACCTTGTCCCCTCAGTCCTTGCCACTGCATCCGCGGATGCTTCTGTCGTTGCCGACTCGTCACGAAGAACTTCCCAAACCTTGCCATCCACGCCTGCAGGCTTTGTAGGATTGCAGGCTTACTGGTTCCAAGGTAAAAACAAATTTAGAATTAGCAAATATCCGGTGTCTATTTTGGTAGGGCATGAGCAGCAGTCCTCCAGTGCAAAGCCAAAAAAATGAAAAGTACAGCCTACCCTACCACATCCTCAAACCCTACACACTCTAAAATACTGTAGGGGCCCCATCCCTCAACAACCTACCCGCATTTCCATTTCATTTTCCATGTTCTTTTCCATTTGCTTCTCCAATATTCCCAAGAGCCCTGAACGCTCAAAACCCTAAATAGTAGCTTACATGTTCCTTTCCATTCCCCCTATAAACCCCTATACATCCCAATCTTACCCTACATTACCCCAAAACCCTGAGATCCATGTATAACCTCTAGATCCACTATATTGCCCCCAAAACCGTTTAAGCTCAAAAAGCCCGGCCGGGAGGTTTTGGAAGCCCATCCGGGAAGGTCTGGTAGATGGTGGCTGAGGCGCCGCCACTGCACTTCAGCGCCAATACTGGCACTCCATGCTTCAGCGCAATCTGCCTTGGGTTTAGGGCTACATAGGGGTGATTAAATTTAGGGAACACATAGAGAGAATGGAAAACAAAATGGAAACCACCATTTAGGGTTATATATGGGTAATTAAACAGGGCGGACGTATTGGGATTATTGGAAATATAATGGAAACTACTATTTAGGGCCTAGGGTTTATTATGAGGACTCCAATACTTCAGACAACGTTTGAAGTTTACGATAGAGTGTCGAGGGGTCCGGGGAGAAGGCAAAAAGTGGTGGCAGGAGTCGTGGAAAAGTGCGCCTGGTGGTAATACTAGCTATTAGGCAATCATAGTACTGATAATGGTGCAGATCACTGCAACAACATCGGAAGCAGTCCAAACTGTATATACCACTCGGGGACATATAGGAATCCATGCCTCAACTCCCTACTGACAACCTGAATTCGGCCTACAAATTTCTTGGGGGCTTGGCGCCTTGTTTGCTGCCTGAAACAACCATCTCGCTGTTTGCAAGAAACGTGGGGAAGGAGTAGTAAAAGAAATGGAAGCTACTATACCGCCGTAGGGTAGCGAGAGTTGCCTCACCTGCTTGCCAAAATGGCAAAGAAACCGACTTTCACAAGCAAACCAGAACTTGAACCCTAAACCACAAACGCTTTCGGGGTTAGGGGTCTGGGGGTTCCAGAAAAACTTCAGAAGTACCGCTGCAACAGCAATCCGGGCGGCATCTCATCCGCGGTGCCCGGACCCCCCTCAACAGCGATGCAGGCGTTGCAGCTGCGTGCAAAGATCCTTACTTGGGTCCAGGATTACGAGGATGGTTTTCGGTTTCGGGTTAAGGGATACCGTTTTTCTTGGAATCCGCAAGTCCCCTTAGAAGAAAAACGTAAAAATACGGCAACAAGAACCATCGGATAGAGAGGAACATCCATCGCTACACAAGCCTTGCAGCATAATCATCTGTACAACATCAAAGCCCTAGCCCGGACTCCAACCACAAACCCCAAACTGTAAACCCTGAATCCCCAAAGAAAACTAAACCCCCTGTAACCCCTGAATCACTAAACCCCAAATCCCTGAAACCCCTTATCACCCTGAAACCTTGACCTTAATCCATTATCCCCTATAATGACCAAATCCCTAAACCCTCACAGTCCCTGTAACCTCCATGACCACTAAATCACTACACCTTCAAATTTCCGAGACCAGACTCTCGCGTCGCTCCTGGCTGTCGCTGCCGGCAGTCAAAGCGACGCCAAAATTGAAATGGCAAGGCCGACCTGACTTGCTCAGGGTGTGGAGTTTAGGGTACCATTTTGGTAGTGCATTGGGAATAACTGGAAAAAGAATGAAAGCTGATATCTAGGATCTATACTGGGTCCTCTTGATTATGGAAACTACCAATCAGTAGAGGTAATGGTTCAGGGTTCGGGGTTTAGGACATAGAGTTGAGGGTTTGGGGTTTGTAGCTCAGTTTTTTAGTTGCGGGCTGTAGGAATCGTGCTGGTTGCTAGCAATGGATTGAAGGAATGAAAAAGAAAGTCGAAACTACCCCATTTAGGACGATCAGCTCCTTTTAAAGACCCTATAAGCTGGAGAAGGCTGCATGTAGGTTTTGGGGTGCTAGGAAGTAGGTGCAGCGTTTGGGGATTCCTGGCACGCTGATTAAATATGTTGGTGTTGGTGTTTCTGGGAAAATGCGCTGAGGCAGAAAACGTTCGGCCGAGGCCTCCCTACTTCGGGGGATTATATAATGGTTATAATAGGGGTTACATAATGAGTTGAATGCTTTGCCTAAAGGATTTGTTACGACTTTCCGAGGATAATGTTGCCTGAAACGACTATGCTGGAATATGAACATCTTGAAGCTGTTCCGCTGACCAGACCGTACACACTCTCAAGAAAAACACTTGGCTGCGGACCAGCAAGAACATCAACTCGGCACTTGAAGTCCCGAACGGAGAAAGGAAACCCCTTTGAAGCTCACACGCAGGTTGAGGCCCCTGACTCCATCCAACAAGAAAGATTGAAAACGATACAGGAACATGAACAACGTCCCAAACTTAGCCGACTTGGCTCCTAAATCCCAAGTTCAGAAGCGCTTTCTGCATACAACCCTGCTGCCCATTGGTGCTGACGTGTTCTGTTGGGGAATAGACCCTCAAAGTCAGTCCCATAAAATCCCAACCCTAAATCCTAAATCTACAGAACCCTTGAACAATCCGTATATGTCCAGCCCACCACTCCCTACCAGGCCTAACGGAGATAGGTGGAAAACGCAACGCTCTCGCTGCACCACATCGAAGAATGGCCTGCTCATGAGGACATGAGTGGGATTGTTGAGTTGGGGATTGAGGATTTCAGCTAAAGGGCTTATGGCTTGATTGGGTCTAAGCCTCAGGGCCTAGGTTCCTAAAGTTTCGCTTGGGTCCTGGGGATTAACCTTATGCCTCCTAATTTTGCCATGGCTGTCCTGTCAGGATGATCTGCTCTTCTATCCAGGATATTGCCATAGTGCTGCCTATCTCGGTGAGGCTCCCAACCCACCAATGGTGACCACCAAAATGGTAACTGTCTCAAGGGTCCTATACATTCCTGCCATGCTACCTTTACTGTACTGGTTGGGGGCATAGCCCCATAATCCCTAAACCCTCGACCCTGAACCCTAGACTACCAACCCTGAACGCCGGGATTTCCCGAGTCCGGACTCTGAAAAAGGGACACCTAATCCCAAAGCGGGGGGGGGCCAATATAGACCCCCAACATACTCAAAGCCTTATTCTGGGTACCCCACGAAAAGGCATCTCAAATTTTGAGAAACCCTAATCCCTACAAACCACTACATCGTCCCAGTTTCCATTGAATCTTCCATGTTCTTTTCCATTGGGTCTCCATGGTTGGGGGGTAGTATCCCCAACACCAAAACCCTACTTAGTAGCTTACACCCCTATATAACCCCTTTATCCCAGACCCATACAACTAGTACTAGGCCTGGCCACCGCATCGTGAACCACAGCATTCCCGCCAGTGAGCAGGATGCCTACGAAAATGCCGGGACTCGACAGAGTAGCTTCTTGAACCGTTAAAGGTCTTAGAAGATAGTGGAATGTTGTGGAACTACCTTGGGTTTATGAAGTTTTGTCAGGCCTCTCAATAGAGAAGTCTTCGTGTGGAATGATGTGGGAAATACCAGTTGAGTCGCTGTGGTGACTCTACTGGAGGTCCCATTTAGTTGTACCATTCTAGCTCTTCAATGGTTAAACTACCACCCTGCATGCGCGAAAGTGTGCTGAAAACCTGGCACCCATGTCCTGGCACACTCAAGCCATCCTATAAAGCATCATAAATTTCTGTTGTTACCGCAGATATTCTATTCAAATAACTACTGCAGTAGCTACTGTTAGTGGTAGCAGTCCCAGGAAGTGGCCAAGCTGCATCGACCACCCAATTCTTCCGCCAGCTTCTTGCCAATTGCCGCGCAGAGAGCCGGTGAGGTGTCCTGTGACTTTTCCCCGGTAGATTCATTTGGGGGTTTCCCAATATTAGGCCTACCATTTTGGGGTCCCAATAATAAGGACTATAGTATTTTGGGGTCTATATTGGGGTCCCCCTATTTTGGGAAACTACCATTTGGTTACTTGCGAAACAACTTGGCGTGCACGAAAACGAATTCACAGGCTTTGATGAGTCTGGTACTGTAGCAGCAGGAAGGAAAGCAGCAATGCCGCCGGGAAAGGGGTTGGATAGGGGCCTCTAACACTGATCTGAAGCGGAGCCATGCATAGGCCCATGGGAAAACCAAGAAGAAACCCAAAACGTCCTTGTGGAATTCGGTGCTTCCAAAGATCCCGACACGAAGCATCTCCTCAGCGGCAGTGTTTTGATCGAAAGTCAAATTAGCTAGCTTTTCTAGGCAGTCCAAGGCCCTACCAATATAACAAGAATGAGAAGAACTCTTTCAGGCTGCATAGTCCCTAAGGGCATCCCCGCCTCCTGCCCAAAAAAGAACATGTTTGCGCAAGCAGCTTGTGGTAGAAGCCTGAATGATTACTAATTCTATGCCCTTGCAATCCGTAGAAACCACAGTGTAACCAAACTACAGTGTAACCTCTAAGCCCAGTCTTGCTACTAAGCCGTCACATTATTCCTTCAGTGTGAGTCATGTTCATCAACACGGAGGCAGCTTCATAGTTGTGGGATCAAGCAGTGAAAAGCTTCAAAACTGGTCTCAGAAGGGGGCCACTGAATATTCCAGAAGGCAGCGAGAGCACAGCAATTGCGGACCGTTGAAGATGCCAAGATATGCGTATTTCAACGTTGCCTTTGATACGCCCCCATTGGCAATCCGCAACGTAGATTAGAAGAAGGCTACCCAGGGCACGATCCTACACAATGCCTATCAGACGAGATGCACCACGCCTTCAAACACATATCAAGACCATCACTTTGATACATGCCCCAAAACCCAACCCTGTTTTGAAGCATCCCATATCCCCTGGAGGGCCGATTGACGACATGGCCGGAAAGCCCATGGCAAAGGCATCATAAAGACAGGCAAGCCCCAGGTACCCCCGGAATGGCACCGCGTAACCCTGCACGGAGATATAACCCCTACATGTAATCCAGCAGCACAAGGCGTCTGTCAAATTTCTATCCGCCTGTTCGCATTGCCACGTGTAATCTAGATCCCACCTAAAGTGATTCACCCCACCAGCTAGGCGGGCACGCTCTCAATGCAGGTCATGCAGCCTCCACCCTGCTTTGATCATTACAAATTTGATTCTTGGACTTGGTTCCTTCGCGCCACCTGCAAGTAAAACCACTGTCATGTAACCCAGGTACATGATTTCTGTCCCCAACTCCCTTTACGTAATCCTTACATGATATGCTCCACAAGCATCTGGAGGCATCTGCTGCATGACAGCCTCATAGCTGCCCTTCGGCGCCGCTGACATGTTGCAGCCCATAGTTCGCGACAAGTGCCGCAAGCTTCTACGCATGCGCAAAGGTTGGAATGCGCAGGCTGTTTTTCGACGTTGTAGAGCTGAGGAAATCTCTGATCAAGGCTTGCCAGGACTGTGCAGGGGCATGTACTGCTCGGCCCGGGATCATGAAGAATTACTCAGCTTACGAAGGCTTCCGTGCATGCTTTTAGCTTGTCAGCTTTCCATCACTTACCCGGCTACAATGTCATCTTGCATTGGCATACACTTTGGGGCTGGCCAACACATTTTCCAGGGTATATGATACTAGCAGCCCTTTTGGCGTGCGTAAGACCTGTCAGGGCATTGTATGGGGAAGTATTCAAGCGCAGATTATTCAGGCTTCTACATCCCGAAATGTGAAGGTCTTGGCTGCTGCAAGCCTTGATGGAATGACTGCACTGTGAGCCAGCAGGAAATGAGTGAAGGAACGCGAGCTACAGGGATGTTTCTGGGGAGGGGGGGAATTATGCGGATATGTTTGAAGGTTGGGGTTTGGGGATTCGGGTCGGGGGCTTTAGGGGGTTTGGGGACTTATGGGTCAAGTACCATGCTTGACATGAAGACCCTGAAGCCCCCACTCTGACAAGTAGGGCTCAAGCTTTAGGACCCCCGTCGGGAGCCGGATGAAAGCCTCGTCAAGTTTCAGGGTTCGGGGTTCTGCCCTAAACTCACACCTTTTTTACAAATAAGCTTGGAACCCTGGAAGCACTACAAAGACCCTGGTCCTTATGAAAAGGGGGAAATTATGGTCCGGCTTAGTGGTCCAGCTCTTCAAGGCTGAGGGCTCAAGCTTCGCCACCTCACTCTTTTCCAAGCCCTGAACCAACCCCAAGCCAAAACCCGAAAGCCTCGACTCCACTGTGCGGTGGAGTAACTCAACCTCCACTCCCGTGTTCAGGTATTCCTCCTGGACAAGCAACATCTACCAGGCTTATGCACTGAGGGGCCTAAACAGTTAGGAGAGGCTTTTGGGGCATACCAAACAATAGTTATGCAACAATAAGAACTATAGGGGGGCAATGCTAATTACTATCCAGTCTCCATTGATGTGTATCGTTAGAGATAGCCAGGGCCCATGTTGATGAAAAAACTCTGCGGATGTCCAGTCTGGCATTGGCTGACAATCTTGATTGGCAGCTGAAAGTGGAGGTTTGATCAAACACTTCTTGACAAAGAAACCAGCCGCAAGTCAAAATCAAGGCCTCTATGAACCACCAAACTCCAAACCCGAAGCCTCCACCAATCTCGTGCATGTAAGGACTCGAATATAGGGACCTCCAAAGCTATGCCAAAATATATTGTTTGCACGCCTTTCCCGTCGTATGTCCATCCTAACCACAGGGATACTTGTTGGTGTTCCAAGTGGACTCCTGATACTTCAGCATTAACCTCCAAGCCCTTGAAAATGCCCAACCCCTCCGCACACCGTGAGACCTGAAGTGCCGAACGCATCAATCTTGAAGAACTGCATTCTCAACTTTACAAACCTGAAATCCTAAGATGGCACCACATGAGCTGCAAAATCTGACGGCGCTGTGCAGTACAGAAATCAAAGAACAAGTGCTTGCCCAACGCTCCTGTGAATCCCAAGTTTGACCCCCAACCGAGAACGGTCTCGCATACCGTGCATGGGCCCACGGGCGTCGCCCCGGGCGCACGCGCACGACCGAAGTTGAGCCCCGAAATCCATATGAGCTATAGTCTAAACTCCTAGTATCCCCCTATAGTAGTCCCATAACCTCCCTTTAAGGAGTTTAGACTATGGCTCCTATCAGCCCGAGGCCACCGTCCCAACCAAAGACTGATGGATCGCTGCTATGGATCCTGTCGGTCTATTTTCCATTATCCCCTATATAACCCCAATATATACCCTATAATCCCTATATAACCCATTGTAGTAGTTTCCATTTTCTTTTCCATTATCCCCCATATAACCCCAATATACGGGTGTATTCTACGCCTGCCCTTTTGCTAGACTTTAGACCTGACAGCCCTCCCGGGTTTCCCTGCCTCGGGTACAGACTTGGCTTCGATGCTTACATGCACAGTGGTCTGGCTGGGAACACCTGAGCCAAGATGTTTCGGAAGGTTTCTCAACCAGAAAGCTGGTACTTTTGATCCTTGCCACGGGGAGTTGGTTACCTCGACAATAGAATGTGACTGAGACCCGCGGCTGTTCGAATTACCAAGCTCGAAAAATCATAGTAGCGTTCCAGGGTATACTTGCGGTATAGTAGACCGCTTCCTTATGATTATGGGCCCGCCTGCCTCAACACCCTGGGAGTATATTGTCAAAACACGTCCGCAAAGAGATCAATCAGCAAGATAACCCTAACTCCGAAACCATACATGTCTCCAGAAACTCGCGGTTTCAATTTCACTTTCCTTGTCTTTTCCACTTGATTTTGCAGAATTCGGGCATGTCCGCATACAACCATATGTGGCCCTATAAAACCCGATGCAGCCTTACACATCCTTGTATTAGCCTATATATCCCTGCAAAACCCTACATATCCCTAAATAACCCTAGGTATATTTTGGGCACTGCCCCCTCAGTAACAGTTGGGTAATATTTAGAATATAGTCATATGTAGCCCTTAACATGACCCCTAGTATAGACTGTCACTGGGTGAGGGCAGTACCTAAGGTAAATATATCCCTAGGAAAAACGATCTTTGAAAGCCCACTTCTAACCTCAAAGCCCTGAAAGCTGCCGACAAGTGGCTGGCATTCTCAGCAACCTTTGTGCAAATTGTGTAGGACTGATATGGCTTTAGGCCCCTTAGGGGTTTTCTCCAGGGTCTAGGGGATGAAGGTAGTGGCTTGTAGCTCCATGGGTTCGGGGACCATTCTTTCACGCAAAAAGGCAGTGATGATTGTTCAGGATTGCTTGAGGGGCACTGAGGCATTGCAAAGGACCTTCTCTGGATGCAGCAATATTATGCATGCTCGTCCTTTTGTTTGAGATGTGTGTTCTTGGCTCTAAAGCCTCAAGCCAATAACAGTCCCATCAAGGGAATGAAGGTTGCTTCCAGTAGGATCGAGTAACCTCTAGCTGTGTTTGGGCTTTGGTGTAGAGTTTGGTGTCCAGGGCTCGGATCTGGGCTTGAGGCAAACACCGCAGTAAATCCCGAATGCAAAGCCCATCTGCTTGAACAACCCCCGTACGAGGGCTCACATCTGGATAGCCCTTACCCCCAACCTTCTGAAATGCAATGTCAAGAGAAAACGCGGAACACCGTTTAATCTCGTGAAGGCCTCTCATATGAGGATTACACTACATGGCGATTTCCATAACTAGGCGGACCTTAGTAACAACACCAAAAAACTATGATGTTTGTTATGGGTACTCTTAAAATTGTACCGCCGACGTGGGGAAACCCCTAAAACCTAAACCCTAAGAAACCTACAAAGTACTTCTTCCTTCTGTACCCCCCGAAGATGGCCTTAGCCGCTTTGGCTGCTGCCTTCTTCGCCTCAGCTAAATTATGTTCAAATGATAGTAATACGAAAAAATAATAGTAGCTATCGCAATAATAGCAGTAGTAGTAATAATAATAATAATAAGAAGAATTTCAATAACAAGAATAGAAATAACAAGGCTAGATCTCAATGGTCGTATGGGTGCTTAAAATGGAGAATCAAATGCAAAAAGACAATAGAAAACGAAATGGAAATCGGGACTATGTAGAGACTTACGGGCTTTAGGAATTTCAGGGAGAATGGGAAATGGATCCCTATGCTCATGCCTGTGCCTACAATAATGCCATGCACTTTCCTTGGATAAAACAACCGTTGTCCGGGTAACAGAAACGGAAGTGCTAGATTTCATCCTACAGAGCCCCATACAAGCCCCACATTACCCTATGTAATCCCCACATGACGCTGCAACCCCCAAATAACCCTAGATAATCCCAATACAACCCTATATCCCACATAACCCCATCTAATCCCGATATGTAAATATATGTATATATATATATACCAACATATTGGTATGATTACTTTGTGGTTGCAAGCTCAGGACCGCTGTCGGTTAATCCCCTGCCCCAATAATAATTACCACCAACATGAAGCCGCAAAGGGGAATATATGTCACATATCATTAGGGTTTGAGGGCTTAAGTTGTTTATTTGGGATGCAGGGATTGTTGAATTAAGTTCACTTATGCCTGACTCAAAGCAGTAAGCCCTTCATCCTGCCTTAAAGTCTTGACTTACGACCAATTTGCCGGATGGAAGATGATCACAATCAAGCTGGGGCACCATTTTCATGGGTTCTGCTACTAACTCCAGAATTAAGGCTAATTAAGAGGGAAACTAGGGCGGGTTGCATAGAGAGGAACCCATGACATTTGGTGATTTTGAAATTTTCACTCGAGAGTCGAATGTTAAGAGGGCTATGTTGGCAGATCCCTGGTTTGAGAGTAGACCCGGAAGAGACCAACCATAACATGCCTCTAGCCTGGCCAATACTCAGTGTGCAGGACCCTACCTACATGAGGACATTCCAATAATAGAAATTACTAGATTATGAGGTACGTTGATAATATAATATAAGGGGGGAGCCCCGATTTCCGGAAATATCCCTATGCAGAGATGTCAGCACTGGGGCCACGGAATGATGTTGACCACTAAAACAGCTGGCTGCGCTGCAAGCAGGATCAAAAAAGGCCACACTTTGAACAACCATTATACATATACACCCTAGCATGATGTAATCCAGCGCTGTCTTGTGGAACCCTCATAGGGCCTCAGCTTCTCTTCAACCCTCCACTTCACAATCCCTGTATTCCCCCAGTTTCCAGCTCACTTTCCATCCTCTTTTCAATTTGATTCTCCATTATAGGGGGATAAAATAGTAACTTTATATCGTATATTATATACCCTATATACCTTATACTATATACCTTATATTATATTCAATTAAGCTTCTTAACAGCAAGTTCCCAAAAGCAAAGCCGAGGCACAGCTCGGGCAATGCTTCCCATGGTGTCGGTGCCTTCGCGCTCGGCTGTGACGTTCCTCGGGAGGTCAGCCCATGTTACCCATGTTTCAGGTATACGTTTCAGAGCACGAGAGCTTCGGTTAAGGAAGGTTTCCTGTGGCCGCCCTCTCTCATCAGAGTCCAAGGAAGCTGAAAGTTTTAAGTTTCCACCCCAAACCCCTGAATCTCAAACACCAAAACTCAGGCTCTGCCAACCCGAAGCTCCTGCTTCCTAGCTCGAAACCTGGAAACCCTGTACCTCACAGCGCCAGTTGCCCTAGTTCCTTGACCTCAGGAAACCCAACAAATTCGTAAACCCAAACACAAACTACAAGCTACGAGATTGATGTATAGCCCCTACCAAACGCCATGTACTCCTACATGACACCTATCTGAAGATGCTAAGAAAAAACTTGGCGACCCAGTTTCGTGGCGTTCGTGGAATTCGTGCCATTTGTGCCATTGCCGCGCAGAGCACTGACGATGGCGGTGGCCGCCTTCGCTGCTTCCTTTGCCTGGAAAAACTTGCTGGTTGTTAAGAAAATGGAAACTACTATAATGGAGAATCAAGTGGAAAAGAAAATGGAAAATGAAATGGAAACTACTATAATGGGGTTATATAGGGTTTAGGGTTATAATAATGGAGAATCAAATGGAAAAGACAATGGAAAATGAAATGGAAACTGGGATTATTATGGGGTATATACATCGTAGGCTGATTGACCTGAGAGTGGGCCTGGACCTACCCAGCCTGCAGTTGTCCAATCCTGCGCTATTGCTGAACTCCAGCATCTGTTTCTTCTTTTGCCGTCTGGTGTAGGCAAAGGAAATCGAATGAAAAATGAATCGTTTATAGGGATGCATGTGAGGTTTTGGATTTAGGAATACCTTGCTAGTCGCCAGTAGCAAGTGTGAAACTGGGGCACTGTAAGGAGGTATACGGTTAGTGGGGAATGAAGGAACAGAACCTACTACATTTCAGCTTACACACGAACTACTCTTGGGATCGATTCCTCCACTCCCTCCTAGCAACCAAGAAGTAAAGGAGTTGACCGGCACAGGGTTCAGGCTTTGGAGCCCAAACCTGTAGGGTATGGTCGGGTGATACTCAGCCAGCCTAACTTCATGCCTCTTTCGGTTCTGAGGGCTCCGGTCGCGGTAATACGTAGGATTGCAGAAATTTGCCTCACAGGCTGGAGCCCCAAGGAAAAACTTCAAAACCCTGCCTTCACCCCGCCAACACAAGGCTCCGCAAACCCCATGTTCTTCCTGACCCCCCCCCTCCCACCCCATACTCTGCTACTCAAATGATGATCCTTGACCAGACTCACGTGGATATGTTCAAGCCAGACACAACCCCGGTAGTAGCTGCCCGCACACCGTATGCATTGAATCAATGCTGATATTCAACCCAGACCCAAAATTAAAACCCGACCAACCTCACATCAACCCAGTGGCAGCATCTGCCACAGCTTCAGCTTTCGATTCATTGCCTGTGCCAGAGCCTTTGCGTCGCTGAAAATGAGGCTCGTCAAGTTTATGGTCGAGGGGCTTGGGAGTCAGGCCTGGGAAAAGAAGCTAGGAATTAAGTTTGGGTCTAGGGCTTAAGGGTTTAAAGGCATGGCTTGAAGGGAAGGTGAAACAGGGCTGTGATGCGACGTGCAGAAGGTTGATGCCAAGGATTCTCAAAGATATTACGAAGGATTATCAACCCATCCAAACAAACATGACGAATCTTGAGACCATAAGCAGGGGCACAACATGTCAATTCTATAAAAATGCTGTTTTGAAATGGAATGCCTGTCCGCGTCTGAGTATGATGATGAGGAACACTATTGCCAGAGCTATCAGAAAGACTACTGACTTTTGTTCCTTTGCGAGACCTGCTTGTTGTACGACAAGAACTCGAATACGAGAAATGATGATAAGGGCTGAAAATCCAGGCCGTGCCGTCAGCGCCGTAAAACCGATACAACCCCTAAACAATCCCAATAAACTTCCCAAACATTTCCAATGCAATCCCTAAACTATCCCTATGTCCCAATCTCTATTTCCTTGCCAACTCCAGATGCTTTATCCTACAACCCCTTAGCCTATATGTTCCTAAGACAAGCTCTACTGGAAGCCCAATGTATAATACTGCAGTTTCCCTAAATAGGGTGACCCCAATATAGATCCCAAAACACTAGAATCCTTATTTTGGGGACCCAAAATGGCGCGCCTTATTTTGCGAAAGCCCCTATATTCCTTCATTCCCTAGTCACCTCTGGTATGCCTATACGATCCCTCCCCTAAACCTAAACTGTCCCGTGTATCCTACCCATCCTCCCACACCCCTACGTACACCCCGCTCCCCCTTATCTTTCACTTTACCCTCTCCCTCTCAAAGCACCTCCACCGCCGAAAATGGCTTGAGCAGCTGCCCTCGCGGCTTCAGCGGCCCCGGTGACCTCGGCGAAGTTTTTGGGGCTTTGGGGTTTGGGGGTTGTAGGGCTTGGGTTGCCGCATGTTGGGATTTGGGCATTTAGGCCTGGGGGAGTTTTCCGGCTTTGGAGTTTGAGGGCTTCAGGGGTTTTCAGGTTTTCAGAGTTGGCGGATTTTAGGAGTGTCTAGGGTTAACGAACTGAGGCTCAAGGCTCTTCAGGCTACCTTTGCAGGCTTATGGCTTGCGACGCAGGGTGTAGGGTTCAGGGTTTGGTCTAAGGAGTAAGGCTTGCGAATTGGAGCTCCCGCTCAGCAAAATAGGGATGGGGCCTATACCCCCTGGCTCAGGTCCAGACCATGCAAAAATATTCTCTACAAGGTTTCGGTGTAACTTGCATGGCTGTTCAGTTCTTCGCAGTCCATACCTACGTATCATTGTACTGCTACGCAGCTTGACAACAAGAAACTCTGAGGCCTTGAGCTCCTGTTGAACCCAAAGACGTCACGCTCAGGGCTCCTTCTATCGCGGATCTCTTTGAGCTGTGATGTCGTGACATAGCCATATGCGTGATGTTTGCAACTCCGTGAGAATGGAGTCTTACTGCCTTAGATGGGGTCTGCTGAACTTGGAGAGGGGGAGGTGCCGCAAATTCAGGCGAGTGACACGGAATCATACACATCGGGTGATGCATGGGCATGGTATCTCTGGAGAGAACGGAACCCTAAACATGGCATGAACTCGTAGGCAGATGGCAGCCCACATGCTGCCGGCGTACTGCCTCCACGGCTTCTTCGGTGGAATTTACGGCGCCAGAAGCATTTCCTCCTGTGAGTCCCGCCCAGATGGCCTGGCGGAGGCTCTGGGTCTAGCAATGGTCTAGCAGTGGGGTCTGCATAGCATTCTGTTGTGAGCTTCTGTTCTCCTGGGTTTTAGGGTTTGGTCTGGAATATGTGCTCTGTTGGACCAATACACCCTGAACAAGTGCAGGTATTACATGTGGACCTGAGGAACATGGCACCCCCCTAAACAAATGATTAACCCCAAACCCACGACCAAAAACCAGTAGCGGCCTTCGCTGCATCTGCTGCGGCCTTTGCAGCTTCCCCGGCCTTCATTCCCGGATTCTTGCGGCGCTTAGGGTCTGGGATCTAGAGCTTGCATAAACCCAGTGCTCATCATATTCCTGTGTCTTTTCCATTTAAGTTTCTTGATCGGCACCCTAAATCCCAAACACCCTGAGTTTTGTGCGTCCAACGCAGGCCCGGCAGGTATTTCTCATTCAGGGGCTAGTTGCTGAGGGATTTAATGAGAATATAGTTTTGGTGTGGAGGTTTCGCAAGACCATCATGCAATACTACTAGCAGTACCAGACCTAGGGGTCCCCGAGCATTGGAGGTGCCTTGCTGATGATGTCATGATAAAGATAAAGCGTTGGGGAAGTGCAAAAGGAACAGAAGAGACATGAAACTAGCCGAAGCCTTACTCACAACTACACAACATTGGATTGAAAGCAGTCAGGATTTGGCCTTTCCAGTGGTTCTGAGCATTATCCTCTCAAGCTTTGAGGTTATCACACTTACTGACTAGACTGAGACCCAAACTTGGCCTTCCACACATGCTATTTCTTGCGGAATGTACAAAACTGCCATAATTTTCTGAACAGACCTCAAAATTGCATCTGCAAGAGCAAGCTCCCGACTATACCCAGGTCTTCTTCTTTGTGACGATGCTCAGGGTCACAGGGTGGGAACATGGCCTGAGACCTTCTTTGCAAGTTGGACAAAGGTTCGGGGGTTAGGGTTTAGTCACACTTTAGGGGGTTTAAGCTTTGGGGCCAAAGCATCCCCGGGGGAGGCAGAACCACAACATCGAGCTACACAACAAACAAGACCTCTTGCCTCAGCACGCATGAATCGACTCTGAAACAGCTAGATCCAAACCAAGGATGGAAGGTTGGCTGCTTTAAACTCCTGTGACCCTTTGGTTGGAGAGTATCATTGGGGCAGCACAGCATGACAGAATGGAATGTGCTTGAAGAGGTCTGGAAGCACAATTAAGAAAAGAGACTGTATGCATCACAAGCACATTGAATGCTGGATAGGTCATTACCGTGCCGTCGTGCTATGCAAAGCGGTATACTTCATACATCATCACCCAAAAACTCCAGTCTCTGACTTTTCAAGCCTTTCATTTGCGGGCCATAAGCCCGAACCCCAAGCCCCCTTTATTATGCCCTTTGGTAACATTTGCAGCCACTGCGCTGCATTGACAGCGTCCGCCGTGGTGTTTGCAACCTCCGAGGCGTTGGTATCGTTGCCAAGGATGGCCTGGCGATTCAGCATGTGGAGGTCTATCTTGAAGTCCCCTTATTTTGGAAAACTACCATGTTATGGATATTACCACATGGAGATATAGGGTTATAATATAGCGGGAAGGAAAAAGAAGATGGAAGCTACTACTCAGGGTTCTGCATTTCGAGAAGTTAAGGAGTACTACGGATAGTACGCGCAGCAAGGGAAAAAACAAAAGCAACCTATGAGTAGAATGGAAAATGTGATTATGCTGTTGGTGTTTAGCGGATTTCCAAAATTTAGCGGTCCCTTTTGCAGAGCGCGACTAGAATCTGCTGGGGCAAATATGGGGGGACATTGGGGGGAAACGACTTTTGGAAATACCTATTGAGGGCCACCTGCGGTGTAGGGCTTTCAGGTTTTCAGCTCAAAGGATATCGTTGATTATGGTTTGGGGTTCCGGTTGGGAGCTTGAAGTTGAAAGTACAAGGCTTAGGGTTCGGGGCCGTCTGGGGCAGCGGTTTGCTTTGGGGTCCATTGGAAGGTCACAGGAACAAGTCGCAAGGGTCAAGGGTTTCGGGTCTAGGATTTAGGGCTTTGTTTTGGGATTACTGGTTTGGGGCTTCAGGATTGGAGCCGCAACAATAAAATGCGCTTTACAAAAAAAATGCTCATGTATAGCACTGCTTGCTCGAAGTTCGATCATTCAGGGTTCTAGCTTCAGGGGTAAATCCCGTACCTGGATGTCAAGTGCTGAAATGAGGTGGAGCAGTCCGGGTTCGGTCCGCTTGGATTCTGTTGCAACATAGCAGAACCTAAATACCAAAGCAGCATGACCAGAAAGAAAGGTCCCATCAAGTCCCCCTATGCCCCCAAATACTACAATTGAAACACTTGATATTGGCAACGCGCCAAGAGAGAGCCCCTGATTCCTGGAAGCCCAAAATCGGCAACAGAAACCCCGCCGCTGGATTGAAAGGAATGTTCAAGTGAGGGAACTACCAGGCGGGTACCCTGACAGGAAGCATACATCACACGCAATATATCATACTCCTCATTATAAGGACTCCCAAAAAAAGGGCCTCGAGTTTTTGGAAACCACCCAGATGGATCCACCCTCCCTAAGGTTCCCCCTTGTCCTGCATGAACCTCAAGTAAGCCTGATTTGGGGGGAAACCCCAGGGGGGCTGGTACAGGCGGAGTCGGTTAGGGGAGCCGCAACCTATTTCTGTCATCATCTTGTAGACCAACCCCTTGCCTCAGCGGCCTTCTCCAGACCTTGCTTGACCTGGTGGGATTTAGGTCAGAAGGCTTAGGGTTTCTTGATAGAAATTAGAGCTTGCAGGTTGGAATAAAGCTTGTGAAGATTGGGGATTCATGTCAGGTGTTGTCTCAGGCTTCTGGAAGCCAAAGCGTTTGATTTGGAACCTCTAGGATTCCTTCCTGAGGTGAGTATGGCTCTCAAATTACCTAAAAGTTCGATGAGTAGCGGCCTGCAATGGAAACCCTGTTCAACGACAATTACCTACACACTTTAGGTGGTTCTACTTCAGGGGCAATGGAAGGAAGACCAGCGACCTGTAGATGAATCCCTTAAACCCTAGACCCTTACCCGTGTACGTACTTTGCAAGCGGTTGGCAGCCAAGGTGTCCTTCTGCTTTGAGAACTACCCACGCATGGTGGTTTCCCAAAGTAGGGGTACGCTTTGGGGTTCCCGCAACAAGCTCCATTTTCTTTTCCATCATCCCTATAAAACCCCTATATTACCCCTATATAGAACAACAACCAGGAAAGCCCTGTGCGGCGGAGCCGCAGCATCAAAGCTTGTACTTGTCCTGAGCAGAGGAT